ATGCGCAAGTTTGGCCTCAGCAAAGAACAAAGAGCTCAGGTGATTCGTGCAACAGGTGGTTCATCCCGCTTTGTAGACATTGAACGTATTTTGAGAGCCTCCGACTTTGAGGAGAGCAAATCTGATGATCGACGTGGCAGCCGGCCACCTCAAAAGGTTCAACGTCGTGAAGCCTATGCAATCCATGTTGATAACGATGATGATGATTCTTCACTGGATATGCCTTTTTCTTCAGATAGTGGGGATGAAGTATATGCTGGGGAACATGAGACTGAAGTTCAAGGACAGGGCGATTCCACCGATGAAGATATCCAAGAAGTACTTGAGATTCAAAAGAAAGCCAAGAGAGACTTCAAACGGAATTTCAAGACTTACAAGGACTCCAAGAAGAAAGTTCGAGAGATCAAGAAATCACGTCAGCCATACTTTCCAGTAGTTGCCATTCCTCCTGAGGGTCAAGGTGGAGCTTCGTCATCACAGACCGTTGCCCCTCCTCAGGGTTCCAAGAAGTTTGAGAAGAAGGTCATGACCAAGACCACCAAGCAGTATCCCAAAACTCCTTATCCACGTAAGGAGGAAGCCCATTTAGCTGTTGGTAGTGAGGTCAATGAATTCAACTACATGGTAAATGTGCAACTGCCACCAATGAATGACTCTGAACTGGATGTTTTACTGGCATCTATTCCAGCGGGTTTTGCAATTTTGGACACAGGTGCAACCACGTCCGTTGTTGGTGCTGATACAGCTGCTCGCTATGCTCAACATTTTGCTGCCCAGGGATTTCCACCGCCTGTGGAACTAGAGATGCCTCCAGTTGAGTTACGTGGTTTTTCTGGAAAGGTTGAAAAGACCTCTCGTGGTCTTCGCTGGACAGTTAAGCTTGGTGAATTGTATGGATCGATTTCAACATACGTTGTGCCTGGTGCAACGCCTTTCTTGTTGTCCCGCCGTGTGATGGAGAACATGGAAGCTTTGATAGACCTGGGTCAACAGACCATTACAAGTCACAAGCATGGCATGAAAGATGTGAAGTTGAGCCGTTCTGCCAACGGCCATTTGCTCCTGCCGATTTGCCCAGCTCAAGATGATTTCGAGATCCAACCATGTGAAACCGATGAGCCCAATGATGAAGATGCCTCAGACACCTCCGAAACCATGGTGTCTCCTGCGCATCACTCCGATGAGACAGCTGCAGTTCCTGAACCACATGCTTTGCCAGTGATGGAGGACCGAAGTGATCCCAAGCCATCCATGCAATGCCAGCCTGTCAATAATCACCGTAAGATAACTGAGGGTGATAGGAAACGTGCCTTCCAAACCATCCTTAAAAACACTAAGAATGGGGTTGTTGACATAGTTAGGCATAAGGATGACTTAGTCCAAATCTATGGAGCAAGCGGCAACCAGATTGAGCATGCATTCGTTGGCTATAAGCCCAAGTTAGAACGAATCCCCCATGATGTAGAAAATAAAGAATATCTGGTATCCATAGTCTCCCTGGATAAGGATAAGACCTTCAATGTATCCCCCTGGCAAGTGCGTCCTTCAGGAGTGCAGAGACGACCTGTGAGTCCCATGCCTGTAGCACTGTTTTGCTTTCGTGCGCCCGAGCTAGCAGTATGTGCCGACGATTCGAGTCCGGATCAACAGCCAATTTGCATGTGTTGTTGTGAATGCGATGCCGGTGACACCCAGTCACCTGATGGTGAGATTCCTTTAGAAACCCTCTATGAAGAATCTGACTGGGTAGATGTTGGACATAGCCTGCCTTCTCATTCCCGAGATGCCATCCGAAAAGCCATCCAACAGTTGAGAAAAACCAGCATCCGAGTAGCCATTTCACAATTGGCCGATGATCCTGACAGCGTGCGTGCCGAGCTTGCTGATTGGCTAGGTGATCAGTCTGCAGTACTTGATACCAAAGTTGGCCTTGTTGAAGTGTTCACAGGACATGCCCCTTTGTCCCAATTGTATGAGCAAACCACCGGAAAGTCCAGCATCCGTTTGGGCCTCTCCTATGGACAGGACTTCACACGTGTCCGAGACCGTAGACTGTTGTTGCTGCTCATAGCTTTTACACAGCCTGAACATGTATGGTTTAGCTGGCCATGTAAATATTGGGGTCCCTGGTGTAACATCAACATGAGTAAGGATGAATCCCTGAAGAGCCGTATTTTGGAACAACGCCAAATTGCCCGGCGATACTTGCATATGGTTTCAGAAGCCTGGCAACTGCAGACAGCACTTGGTGGCCATTGCCATGCAGAAAATCCTTTGAGTTGCCTTGCATGGAGCGAGCTCAGCCTTGGTACAGTTTGGGTGTGCCGAGTGGATCAGTGTGCCTTGGGTCTCCGAAGTCCCAAAACCAAAAACATGATTCTCAAGCCCACAAAACTTGTAACCACTCAGCAAGAACTTGTTGAAATTGCCTCCAGGTACCGTTGCGATGGACACCACAAACATGATCACTTGGAGGGCGCCTATAAGGGTAAAAACCTTACAAGTTGGGCCGAAACATATCCCCGAAAGTTTTGTAAGATAATGGTGGGGGCTATGATGAAGTTTCATAAACATGAACATGACAGACCTCGCACGAGCGAAGAGATCCTAGCCATGCATGATCCAAACGAAGAAGAACTTCGCCATGAAGTTGTTGGACACGATGGAGATGAAGATGAGCCAAACATGGATGATGAACCCTCCAACATAGATGAACAAAAAGCTGTTGCCTTGGTTCGTAGGTTACATGTTAATACAGGTCATGCGTCACCTGAGCAACTCATGAGACTTGCAAACCGGTGCAATGCATCCGAGACCATCAAAAAGGCCATCCGTTCCTTCAAGTGTCCAGTGTGCGAGGAATTAAAGCCTCCAAGCATCCACCGCAAAGCGACAATTGCCCATGCAGAGAGTCCAAACCAAGTTGTTGGCGTAGATTTTGTCCAGGTTGAGTTGAAGAAAGAAGGAGAAGATGGAAAAATCTATGAAATCAAAAGAAATGTTTTGACTTGTGTCTGCCTGGCAACTGACTTTGCACAGCAGATTGTGGTCCCTCCAGGCCCCCGTGGCATGTCCAAAGCGTTCCACGAAGTGTGGGTGCGACCATATGGTGTTCCCAAAGTTGTCTACATGGATCCAGATCACCGTAACATTGGTCAAGATTTTCAACAATACCTTGCTCATTACAACATTCAGCTCCTACACGCCGCAGCCGAGTCACATTGGCAGTTGGGCCGAGTTGAAATTTCCAACAGAGTTTTGCGCAACATGGCACAAAGAGTTTGGCGTACCACTCATGGCCGTAGTCCAGAAGAAGTCATTGAAATGTGTGGTAGTGTTCGTAATGACTATCTCCGTAAATGTGGGTTTAGTCCAAGCCAATGGTTCCTGGGTAGAGATCCCCGCCATGCTGCATCTCTTGCCGATATAGATGAGCAAAGTAATCCTGTAACCCAATCCCAAGTGTTGGCCGATCCAAAATTTGCTGCCCGAGTCATGTTACGCGAACAAGCATGTCAAGCATTCTTGGAGGAGCATGCAAAGGAAGCCTGGCGCCGAGCCATAGCAGGTCGCAATCGACCAATGCGTGGGCCATACGTGCCTGGCCAACTTGTTTACATGTTTCGCCGTAGAGGTAGAGGTCAACTTAGCACTCGACATGGAGTTTGGTTGGGCCCCGGAAGAATTGTTGGAAGTGAATCTTCAACCAATGGTGTTATTCCACGACTAATTTGGGTTTCATACAATGGCTTCCTCTACAGATGCTCACCTGAAGGTCTTCGACCGTTGCCCGAAGACGAGCACAGGTTTCGAGAGCTCACCAGAGAGCTGTCAGCTGGCCGAATGCATCCAGAGATTGAACAAGCCTCTCAATCCATTGAACTCAGAAATGGCCAATACCATGACCTTGTAGATGAAAAGCCTGATGATATAGACATGGAATTGCAAGAAGACCTCATGGATGATGCCGATGATATCACTCCACAACATGATGAATCCATGGAACCCCCAAGAAAGTTGCGGAGGAGGTATACTCGTAGTCCGGAATATTGGGCGAAGCGTGCATCTGGAGAACTTGGTCCTATGGGCTCACTTCATGAAGGTGTTACCCCAACAATAGTCCATTTGCCTCCCAATAGTCCTAACCATGATGAATCAAAAAGAAGACGGGTCACAATTGCAGATCCTCCTGAACAATCAGTGATACAGCCATCAGTTTTGAATGATCCTGCACTAGAAGAACCTGAAGATTACATCGAGCCTTCACTAGCTGACGATCAAGAATTCGATGATGATGCAGTTCCAAGCCCAGAGGGCGTTCCTAGCGCTGCAGATCCCGTAGATGAGACAACTGATGCTGTCGACGATGCACCTGCCTCTGTGCCTGCAGATGCTCCAGAAAATGAGGATGCCGTCCAATTGGACAATGCCGTCAACACAGCAGTTCCGAATGAAGATGATGATTTGTTGGTCACCGCCTCAAAAGGTCCTCAACAAGTGTTAGAAGTATCCATGAACCTTTTCCCCGAAGATATAACGGACAATCCACTTTGCCTTTGGTCAGTTCTTGAAGATTGTTTCCAGGTAACTCCCCCTGTTGCAAAACAACGAAGGGTTGAAGTGTCTTTTCGAAAGTTGAATCCTGATGATAAAAAGCTCTTCACCAAAGCCATGCAAAAGGAGTGGAATTCTTGGATAGAAAACAAAGTAACTTCCTTGTGCAAATCAAAAGGGATAGATCCTGATAGAATCATCCGTGCAAGATGGGTTCTGGTATGGAAAAAGTCTTCTGACCCTGATGACAAGGGTAAAACCCCTAAAGCCCGGTTGGTGTTGGTAGGATGGCAAGACCCTGAACTAGGACAAGTTGCAACAGATAGCCCAACATTAAGGAAAGAGTCCAAAAGCCTAGTCTTGTCCATTTGTGCAGCCCAAAAATGGCGAATTTGGGGAGCAGATATCAAAACTGCGTTTTTATCAGGTGACCCCCAACAAAGAGGTATCTACTTTCGTCCACCCCCAGAGATAAAAGAATGGATGGGTTTAGATTCCGATGACCTTTTCAGACTTGAAAAAGCAGCATACGGGCTGGCAGAAGCGCCACGCCAGTGGTTTCTCAGACTCACCCGTGAGCTCAAAGAAGTCGGATTGGTGGCATCCAGGCTGGACCCCTGCCTTTACTATCTCCGCCGCAACTCCAAGTTGGTTGGCATATGTGGTATACATGTTGACGATTTGTTGGGAGGTGGAACCAAAGAAATGGATACCATCTTAGCAAACCTCAAGAAACGATTGCCTTTTGGCGACTATCGAACCTATACAATCCGATACACTGGAGTCGAAATCAGACAGAATCCTAACACCATGGAGATTGAAGTGGGTCAGGAGAACTATGTAGAAAACCTCAAGGAAGTTCCAACCAAGCCTTTAGGGCAAGCGTCTACTCCTTTGCAAAACCCCACAATCATGCGAGCATGTGCTGGTCAACTTGCCTGGGTCGCAACAAGCACCCGACCCGATGTTGCCTTCTTAGCATCATACTTGCAAGGTGTTCAGGATAAGGCCACAGTGTCTCATGTAACCATGTTCAACAAAGCATGCCGTGAACTAAAGGAAAGAAAGCTTTGTTTGCGTTTTCCAAGCACTGTGCCAATCTCCTCCTGGAGAATCCTTTGTATAGCCGACGCCGGCTGGGGTACGAGAGAAAGTGGTGACAGCCAAGGAGGCTACCTGCTTTGCCTTACCACACCTGAGATCTTCGAACGTAAACGTTCCACTTGCTGGCTGGTAGACTGGTCATCAAAGAAGTTGAGACGTAAGGTAAGATCCTCAGTAGCTGCAGAAACCCTGTCAGGTCAAAATGGTTTGGATGCCGTTGAAATGTTCCAAGCACTGTTAGCCGAAGCTGTTCATGGCACCACCCCAAAGGATTTTAGGAATCAGTTCCCTCAAGATCCAGCAGCTTTAGTAGTGGATAGCAAGGGTTTCTTCGATGCTGTTACACGTAGCTGTTGTAGCCAAGCAATCTCGGTTGAAAGACGTCTTCAAATAGACTGCTCCATAGCAAAGGAAACCTGTGAAAAACAATATGTCCTGATGTTCTGGGTGAATAATCTACGTATGTCAGCAGACTGCCTCACAAAGCTTAAAGGTGACCTCCGTCCATTGCTGGAAATCATGGAGGGCGGCACATACGAAATTACAGTTTGTTCACAGTCAGGTCGAAAGGAAAAGGCTGAAGCAGTCACCAAGGGCCGCGAGCCAGTGCATGATGGTTCTAAATGATCGACATTTCCTCTCCAACGAGGAAGACCAGATGCCAGAGCTTGCAAAAACCGTTTTGCCATTCCCTGTGTCGCCCATGCCGTTGCCATCTCAAATAAGAGTTATTGGTAATCTAAATGGGATAAACCATAGGGGGATAATTAAATTATAAATAAACATGCAATGTCCAAGACATGTGGAGATATGCAAGTTTTTGTGTACAGGTTTGCAGAAATATCCGCTGTTCAAGCACCTTGTGGCCGTTTAACACAGCCAAGAGCCAAACCTCGAGCATTTTGAGGTCCAAGCCAATTGAGAAGCCGCATTTGCTTCCATCCCTTGAACGATAGACAGCCGTGTCAAATATGAGTCGTGGTGCAAAATGCGCTAAGCCAGAAGCCATGGGAGTCAGCGAAGAACCGCTGAATGAGCGTGAGGTGAAGATGGCAACCAGCCTTCTTGCCCGTGCTGTCAAATTTGGACAGCAGCGCCTGATCCTTGATGGTTTCATTCACCAGCCAGGTGGACTGAAGCCTCTCGCTGTGATTGCAGATGCCGTCATGTCAGAGATGGAGCTCAGTGGCAAGCGTGACCGCGAAGAAGCTCGTGATGAAGCCGAGCGCATCAGTGCTGGCTATGAGGAGTCAGAGTGGGATCAGTTGAGTTATGCAGGCGCATCACCGAAAGGCTACATGGGGACAGTCCGTGGTAGCTATGCAGCTGGTGGCTCGACCATTCCACCACCCATGCCTGATGCTGAGTCGCATCCCTTTGAGAACTTGAAGATTCCACTGCCTCCAGGTGTTTCGACCATCCATGAATGGGGCCGCACCGTTTGTCAGTTGGAGAAGTATAAAGAGAAGAAGTTGACATATGCCCAGATGGTATCTCAGTCAGACTTTGACCCGGAGATTTACAACTATCTGTGCTGGATCAAGAATCGCTATGGGATTGAAGACTCTGGCTGCTTTCCTCCGAAGATTAGCCCTGGCATTGACCTTGCCGCGTATCTGGAACGTTCCAAGTTTCAGCAGAAAGGAAAAGAGACGTTCAAGCGAGTGTTACGTTGAACACTCTATGATGTTTTGCAAGTGCCAATCTGATCATCCATGAGGGCGTGTTGAAATGCACATGCCTCTTGCATCAGCATTGCCATTCATTGTACAGATGTATGATCATCTGTGGCTGTATGGGCACAAGGGCCCTTGAGCTGAGACATCAGCTACTTCGAGCGGTAGAGAAGAAATAGAGTGGTGCTCGTGCACATTCCTTTTCATTTGTGACTTCAAGCTGTTTCCGCTTCGCCAATATATATATATATATATGCGTGACAATTGCATTTTCTATCAGCAAGGTTGCCACTGTATCCATCTAAATTTGTCCCTATTGAGCCTGCGTCCAGCAACGTAAAGTAACGCATGTCGTGAAGTTGCAGCAACAACCCCTCGCTCTAAACCTCTGACGTGCTGGCAGCAAGATAGTGTACACGATTCATTTCAAGCCTACTTCCTACTCGTGCGCAGTTTGGTGAGAAACTCTTCAACTAAGAATGAAATTTTGTAGAGAAACTCCGAGTTGGGGACGGCCGGAATGGTACTCAAATTGACATCACCTCAAATTCACTCAACCTTGCGTCTACTCAATTTCAGATTTCTTCAACTTGACATTGACTCAGCCTTACATCTTCTCAACTTCACATTTCTTCAACTTGACATTGACTCAGCCTTACATCTTCTCAACTTCATATTTCTTCAACCTCAAATTGACTCAACCTTACATCTTCTCAATTTCACAGCTCTCAACCTCACATTGACTCAACCTTACATCTTCCCAACTTCACATTTCTTCAACCTCACATTGACTCCACCTTCCGCCTTCTCAACTTCATATTTCTTCAACCTCATACTGACTCAACCTTGCATCTTCCCAACTTCACATTTCTTCAACCTCATATTGACTCGACCTTACATCTTCTCAATTTCACAGCTCTCAACCTCACATCTTCTCAACCACACATGTCTCAACCTCACATTACTCAACATTACACCCCGGCAAGGAGCAAAAACTATTTCTATGGTCTCTCTTTGGCGTCTTGCAACCAAAAACCGCTCCTGACTGTTTGAAGTTGTGTACATAGCATGGTGTTTTTTCAAGTAAACAAGCGCTGGTGCTTGTGGTACAGTAGGCTCGGTTGCGCGACGGTTTCGAGCAACTTCGGCTTGGCGCAGAAACGGTTTGGAAATGCACGGCCATTGAAGCTGAGGTGTCAAGGTGACTTTTGCCAAAAAAGTTAGGAGGAGCACAAGCAGAGTATGGAAGAACAGACAAGAGGAGAGTAGAGCAGAGAAGAGAAGGGCAGGGTAGATTAAAGTTGAGTAGAAGGGGCGAGCAGATTGAAGTGGAGTGGTGGAGCAGAGTGTAGTGGAGTAGAGCAGTAGAGGAGAGAAAGAGGAAAAAGAGAATAGGAAAAAGAGAAGAGGAAAAAGAGAAGAGGAAAAAGAAAAGAGGAAAAAGAGGAGAGGAAAAAGAGAAGAGGAAAAAGAGGAGAGGAAAAAGAGAAGAGGGGGAAAAGAAGAGGAACAAGAGAGAGGAAAAGGAAAAATACAAAGAGAAGAGGAAAAAAACTCAAGAGGAAAAAAACCCAAGAGGAAAAAGAGAAGAGGAAAAAGAGAAGAGGAAAAAGAGAAGAGGAAAAAGAGGAGAGGAAAAAGAGAAGAGGGGGAAAAGAGGAGGAAAAAGAGAGAGGAAAAGGAGAAATACAAAGAGAAGAGGAAAAAGAGAAGAGGAAAAGAGAAGAGGAAAAAGAGAAGAGGAGAGGAAAAAGAGAAGAGGAAAAAGAGAAGAGGAAAAAGAGAAGTTGAAAAAGAGAAGAGGAAAAAGAGAAGAGGAAAAGGTGAAGAGGAAAAAGTGAAGAGGAGAAAAACACGAGAAGCACGCTGAGTAGAGTACCCGTGGCTGTTTCGCGTGGCAGGCCCGACGTTTCCTGCCTCTCTAGACTGGCTGGTTGGCGCTTCTGGTCCGTTTCTACAAAGTGTCTGTGTGTGAGGGCGCTTATGTGTAAAAAATTCTCTGCGCGAGAGCCTCACTGCGTCACAGCATCTGTGGGATTACGGCGTATCTACCTACTTACCTATCTACCTATCTACCTAGTTGCCCACCTACCTGCCTGCCTGCCTGCCTGTCTATCTATCTATCTATCGATCGACCGATCTATCGATCTCGAGCTTTCGTTATTCTCCATCCAAAAAGCATCGGCCGCCTTCATCCTAACCCACCGCCCATCCATAACAACCGGAATGTGAAATTGTTTGGTCCTTTGATTTTCGATATCGTGTTTTATATAGATGTTTTGATCGCCTGCTCCACATCGTTGAATTATTCTCCAAACGCAATGCCACATTCGGTTTTGCCCCTGCTTGTTTGAGTTTTCCAGGAAACCTGATCTCAATGTGGCGACTGATCTTTCTGGCCGCCACCAGCAGTTCTGCCCCAACGCAGTTCAACAATCCGTGGGACAAGAGTCCCAACGATGGTCAGGCCAACCGTGGCCAAGATGCGAACTCTTCCGGAAACAACAAGTCGAATAATGATGGCGACAAACATGCCATCACCTTAGTTGTTTTTTTTGCGGGAAGAGTCGGAAGAGGTCATAGCAGCACGGTCAATGGTTTGCAATGTACTACCCTGATCATGTTGTTAGTTTTGTTCTTCACTTTGAATGCGAATGATCGTCTTTGATTCCAGGTATCTTCTTCACAGAACCAAAATGAAAAGCGTTGAAAAATTTTTCCAGGCTTTGGTTTGCATCTCTCAGCATGCAGTTTGTGTGTTTTTGGTTTCTACTGCCAGCATGATCGGAGTTTTTTTGTGTGGTGATCGCCAGGAGGATGGGACCAAAATACTTTTCGTTCCATGTGGATCCTCCTGGATCGTGAGTTGAGTAGCTGTAGCCCGGTGTTCTCCAGCGCCCTCATGGCAAACTAGAACTGATTATAGTAAACTGCAAACCAACTTGCACGTTGCCCAACATGTTGAAAAGCAGAGCAGAGATCTTGCAAAATAAGAAGTTTTGTGTTTGAGGGACCTGTTCATAGTTTGCCATGTCACCTTAGATCGGATTATTTTCAAACCGTCCATGGTGGAGTTGTGCCACATTTGTGCTCATTTTGACTGTAGAGTTGCGTTGTGTGTCTTGTTTCTTTGCAGCACAGCCTAACTTGATTCAAACTGCAATCAAGGTTTTGTCTCCTCACAAGCTCGGCTGAACCAACACCGCCTCCCACGTACAGATTGCGGCATACATTTGTTTGAAATAGAACTTGGGAACTCATCAACTTCCATTACGAGTTCAGATCTACAGAGATTTACAGAGTTTTTGCTGCTCAGCGTGCGCTTTTGGACCACCTGAAACGGGAGGTAGATCATATGCCTCGAAGTTCCTTGGCATTACACTCTTGGCGTGGCCGGCCATACCTTGCATTATTACTTTGATGGCCGGCCACGCCAAGGTGCAGATCAGACAATGCAGCAAACCTCTGTTGGTGGAAAATGGAAACTAATCTTTGAAGAGAGCGAACCTTCCACTTGCACAATTTTTGCTGTTCACGCTGGACATCATGTGCTTCCTGGGCAATTGGGTCAAAGGCAGGAAAGTAGGCTCTTGACTGACCCGGATTAGTGAGCTGCCCGACACTTGGAGTGTTCAGGTGTTTTGTCGACACAACCAACCAAAGTGAAGTCATTGTTCGGAGACTGACAAAGAGGCATGAATGTCCTGTTTCTGTTGGTGAATCTTGAGTGTTTCTGTTCCGAAAGTCCAAGGTGTTTCCTGGCAATGGTAGGAGTTTGGAAGGCAGGCGAAGTGACTTCAAATTTGCTGTTGTTCCGCTTTGCTCAGTCTCTTCATTGTGAAACTGACTCATCTGCCCCAGGAAAACTCTGATAAATGCTCCAGAATCGCGGCTGAGACATCCACACCTATCAAGGCTGGCTCGCAAAAGGATACCACTGTTGACTTTGTGTTTTCAAGAGAATTTCTCAGAGCATTGGAAACTGCTCAGAACATGCATTGGTTTCCCTACATAGTTGAACAGTCCATTTTGGTGGATTTTGTTGTTCAACATCTTTTTGAACACATCCGTCATCCAAAATCATGCAACTGTTGTTCAGTCTTCTTGTGTTCTATTTTGATTGCAGGTTGGCCAACGCCGCTCAAGAGTAGGTGTGTACAGTGGACGCTCTGCCAATGAGGCGCCTGTCCCAAGGAATGGGGCACCGATTGCTCAACATTTGCCGGTCTGTCAGGGATACAAATCATCGTGGTGGAGTTCATCAAAGTCGTTGACTCAACCTGACGAAGCTTGATCATTCCAAATGGGATAAGCATTGCTGATTTCCAGCCGCATTCGCAAAGTGACTGACTCTTGAATTCAACCATGCGTCTGGGGGTGTCTGAAAATGGCGCATACCGTAACCTCAAAATGGATACAAGAAAGCATAGAAAAGATCGTGAACCATGGGATTTCCGTGTGCTCGGTTTTTCAGTCCAACCCATTCAGCCCTCCTGCACAGAGTGAATCAGCCCTGTCTTTGCATGACGGCTCAGCGACAGCCCCGTGGGTGGCGATTGCCATGCCGTCCTACCGCTTGTATCGGAGTGCCATAGCTGGTGCAACTGGAAGGATTGGCGAGGCGGAGCCGTGAATGGAGCTGCCCGTTCTCAGTTGACCAAAGCGAATAAACATGGTGTAGCTATAAGTAGATAGAAATGTGATTCGAATACATCCTGAAGCTAGTATTGTTTGGATGGAATGATTATATTGCGAGATCGATTCCTTTTGCAGACAGTTCCCCTTTTCCTTTTTCCTCGCAAGTCGTTCGGAGCTGTTTATCGCGAGCTCAGATTTGCCCTGCCAGGCTCTGATCAGACAACTGCTCTTATCCCCTTTGTGCCAAGAGGTCCGTCCTGCCATGTTTACAGCTGCATGGAATCCCCCATTTCGGCAGACTTCCTGAGGTGCATGCAGTGACCAGACGGAAGATCATTGCCTTCGATGAGCTGCTCGGTTTTGGGGAAGTTTCCCACCTTGGCATTTCTGGGTCGAAATTTAAGGCCATGGAAATCAGAGATTGACTGATCCTTGTAAGGCCATCCCAACATTTGAGGTGGACATGTTTAGTTGACTTCATCCTCATGTTTGTTGATTTGTTGCTTATCCAATTTCCGGAAGTAAACCATCCACACGTCTGGGGGCGATTGTCATTTTCAGTTTGTCCTATTCCGGACCTGCTGTATCCGCGTTTGTGTCGGATAAGGCCACGAGAAATTCTTAGGAACAAACCATCCCAAATTCTTGGGGAGCATCCCAAGTCTTGATCATTAAACAGATTAAACATCGTGAAAATCATCAACTGTGTTGGGTTTTCTTCATGCCATGTTTGTTTTGGATTTTTTGGGGCATACACCATTCATGGCCCCCCACCGGGGTTCACAGGTTGTCGGCCTCCGCGAAGCTGAAGCAGCACTTCGCCGACTTCGGTGCGCCGAATCCACCACCGATGGTAAAACAGGGGAAAATACAGAGAATTTGTAGAAGTTCTCCAATGGAAATCACATGTTTTCCGCTGTTTTCCCATGAAATCCAGGAGTTTCTTGTGCGTTTTCTCATCAACCAATAGGCATAAGCATCATAAGAAGTGAGCAAAGTTTGACAAACTGCTGTGGAATGGACCTTGTTTGAAACTCAGAGAGTTTCAGGAATGAACCAGCCAGCAGACCGAGCAAGAAGCGAGCAGAAACCGCTTGTTTCACCTTCAAAGCATATGTTAAGAGATGGATGTTTGCAATCTGGACGACTCAAGATGTTGTAGCATGGCTCACACTCCTCCAGGTGTGGGGTTCACAGAGTCTGCAAAGTCTAGCTAAATCAGCATCATACGGACAATCAGTCATGGGACATGGACTTTGTGGCGGTCAACTTTTGGAAAAACTGGAAACACACCCTAGTGCGCATAGTGAGGTACGGATCTTTGCGGCTTGAACGGATCTGCCTTGCAGGGGATTGATGCAGCAGGATGCTCAGCACGCAGCAACACACCACCATGGTCCACTCGTGTCCAGTCGCTTCCAGTCCGAGGCGTTTTGCGGTTTGGGCTCACGATCCGGGTGGTCCACATCCGAGTGTTGCAGTGCCTGGTGAAGTGCCACCTGATGCACACCACTTTGGGACCCAAGGTCAGATGAAAAGGAAATGGCTGCCGTGGACCGCGATGCTGTGATGAGATTTCTGAGGCCTGTGCTGACAGAGGATCAAACATTTAGACCCTGGGACATGTATTTGTCGAGTACGAAATTTCCAGGTAAATTTTCTACCATACCCACATCACCATCCATCACCATCACCGGATCCCCACGAGTTTCAACTGAGGCTTTGCCAAGAAGCCAACGTTCCCCACGTGACGGTTCTGAGTTCCGCCAAAAGCTGAGACTTGCTGCAGGTCAAGGGGAACCGTGGGTGATTTGGGGCACCCACCCGAGGCGTGGGCGAATACCAGCAGCGTGTTTCCCTTCGCACGTCTGCAAGGACCGGGGGCGTGTCTGTTTCTATTGCTGGAATGATCCAAATGAAGTTACTCCAGGATCCGTGGTCAGTAAGTAGATGTAAGTAGGGTGTATCGGTATATCACGGTATATCCCATGAAACATCCCGTCATCCTGGGTAGCAGCCCTGCCGCCATCACTTCCGTTGGATCATCCCAGTGGGGCATCTGGATTCGATTTCCGATGTGAGGCGAGACCATCGAGGCTCTGAATCTCTTCGATGGTGAATCATGGTGAATCTATTGAACTTCCAACCTGTGGACCAGGCTTTGGAGCACATGAATTGCTGACAGGCCATCAGTGCGATGAAGACTTTTTCGAGGACTTCAATCTTTCAGCCATCAGCCGTCACAGGCAATGGAGAGCGCTTTGACATCCGCATTGTTAAAGGAAATGGCTAAGTTTTGCAAAGAAACAAGCCAGGTCTTGGTTCAGAAATATGATATGATTCTGATATATAATCATATATATATGGTATGACATTATCTTTCCATATTGTTTTATCATTTTTTTCCCTTGAAACATCTTTGTGACTTGTTGATGTGGCGATGTTGGGATCTTGTTTCGCCAGGCGCAGACGGCCGACTCCTGAGTGGTGGCAGCTCCCTCCTGGCCCCTGCCTGAGAGTCACAAGATCTGTGGCAGCAGGGATGTTGGTGGAAATATTAAAAAAACACAACAGTTTTAAACACCTGATATATGGATATATGTTGGATATTGGTGTTAAATATCCTGATATAGGTGGATGTTGGTGGAAATCTATATGGCTATGGATCAATACCTATGAAAATACCCATTTTTATTAAGGGATGAACATCCATAAATCCCAGCTATTTTGATGTGAACTACAGGGGTACTATTGGTTTTGACACACTGCCATATATCCATGGACAATTTAAACAGTTGAATAGGGGCGAAAAAGATCTGGAAGATCTGAATGAAATCGACTTCTTTTCAGCAAGTTATGTGCACTCAACGCACGGGCCCCGTGCTGTTGAGATCCCCGGCCCATCAGTGCCAAGGGAAATTTCATGTGGCAGTCCCTGCCTGTGGCATCCCAGCAAGAGCCTCAGCTTCCGTGAACCAAACTTTGAACAATTCAGAAGTTTCTACAATATATTTATGTTGGAGTATCATTTACCATGTATAGACTGTATAGACATTAATGATTTCTTTATGTTGAAGAATCCAACCATTTTCCAAGATCACTTTTTGTTCCCAGGTTCATGCCCAAGGTCTATCGTCCCATCGCCCGGGGACCCTGGTGTAACACCTGGGGACCCCAGATGACCCCAGCCGCCCAAAAAAACGCTTCGCCCAGCGGCGTTGCCTCGAGGCGCTGGAGGATCTGGCGCTGGCCATGCGGCTGAATGTGGAACTCTGTGATGCCTCGGAAGCCGTGGAGAAGTTGGACTACAGGTGGAAACTGAAAAAGGAAACTGAAAAAGGAAAATGGGAAGAGCACACTGTTCAGCTGTTGAGATTTGGAAGTTTATATTAATGTTTATCTTATTTATATTTGATTCTGTACGTGTCTACATGTATAGAGATACATGTTATGATATGAACAGATGAAAACCTTCAAGTGCAGGAAGGCCCAATCTGATTCATCTTGCGTTCATTGCGGTTCAGACTGTCCTGTCAGGGGCATGATGATGATCATTGGCAAAGACGCAGACCTTTGATCCGAGCGTTCTGAAGACAGGCCCTTCACCAAAATGTTGGACAGGTCCCATTTTGACAGGTCAATCCAGCCGGTATTTCACTTCCAAAACTGTCGGTTAAGATGGCTGAACCAGGCAGCCAATCCTCCCTGATCTCCATAGAGATCCAGCTGCACGAGCACAGCCAGCTCCCGCGGAGCGCGTGAAGGCAACCCCTGGGGTCGCGGAGAGAAATGGCGTGCCATGCTCGGGCCATGCCATGGCCGCCATAGCCTTGAGAAGATGGACCAATGCGATAAGAAAAAAATAGAAAAAGGAGTGTCGAGCTGCTGAAAATCCAAGGCTGTAGCGAGCTGTCATCTGGAAGGATTTGGAGCAGGATTCTTCAGTTCACTGTGGTTTCTGAGGTCAGTGAGCGCATGGGAGGAATCTGCCAGAAGCCGAACTTGTGAACTTTCATGCTGTGTCCCACCGTTGCTCGGAGTCTGTATTCGCCCAGGGATTTGGAAGTAGCAAAAGTTTCAACCTCCTTTTTGTTACACCCAAAAGTTTGAAACTGCCACCCGAGTTAATCAGAAAAATCTCAAGAATTTCCCATGGAACGTTGCGCATCGGCGTTTGGCCCAGGTCGAGGCACCGCCTGGTCTTGCTCGTCAAATCACGACGGGAAAGACCGTTGATCCCGTGGTGAAGTGTTTGACCCAGATCCTCCAAGAGAAGGTGGGATTTTCTTCAGCGATGGCATCATTCAGTGATCGGAACACAAACTGAACATGGCTACTGATGGCATGTTTGATTCTGATTGACGAAGTTTTTCATGCAATTTTCATGACATTTCACTGTTTAGATTTGATTGGCCAGAATTGGGGCTCCAAACTTTGATTCCAGTCGAGTTGATGCAGGACGTGCAAGCCAAGATGGATGCCGAGGGGTATGTTAGCATCCAGCCGCATGCTTAACGGAGTGATGACCTGTCCTGGTTTTCTCCATTCTACCAAAATGTTGGGTGAGATTGGCCCGCCCTTCACAATTTTGGTGTTTTGATTGCTTATCCTCAACATTTCTCTAGCCAATGGATGGGTTAAGCCTCCCATAACTTGCACATTACTGGCCATTATTCACCCTTTACTTCCAGTTGGTGTCATTCACCCCCCACATGCTGACAAGGAAAAGTGATCGATATACATGGAATATGATGGAATATATATATATATAGCATCTCATTCCAGTGTGCTGGGATGGGCTGCCTCAGGTGGCTGCTGAAAGTGAAATCCGCGCTCAGTTGGGAGTGCGGTGGCAATGCGAAGTCCTTGGTATCGGCCATCGAGAGCCAGGCTGGACTGCATGCTGTTAATGGTGGAAAAGCATCCGAAGATCTGTGTTTTTTTTGGCCCAAAAAATGGTGGGGTATTTGGATCAACTGGTTAATCAATTTGAGCACTTTTTCAGATCATCACATCATACCAAGAATACGTGGGTTTCCCAGTTTGAGTGATTCTCTGACAGGTGGGGATTCAGTTGGACGAGGTGCAGGGATTAGTTGGGATTGGAATTTATATCCCATGGGGATTCAGTATCTGAATATCACACACATATCACACATATATCACACATTTCCCATCCCATTTTTCAGGAATCATTCCAGTGTGATCTCCGTATCACTTTGGTGAAGAATTTCACGTCCCAGTCAGATGAGGCTCATCGCCGTGTTCGACTGCGCAGTTGCTGCGAGCAGCTGCTGGTTGAGGCGCGGGTGTTTTTTCTCCGTTTTTGGAACAAGTGATTGGTGGACTCCACTTGGATGGTTTTGTTCAACATCAAAATCGGATGAATCGGATGGTTTCTTGTTGATTCCAGAAATCGAATAATTGCATCATGGCATCCCGGAATATTGGATGATTTCCCCCAAATCGAAACCCGGGTGCAATGTATTGGATCTATTCGTATCTATTCATTTTGGCGTCCATATTGGGTGTACTAAATAAGTGGAAGTAGATTGTTTAATCAATATAAAAAGTTGGCTTGCTTTTGGTGCATCATTTTGTTGGATCAGAAACCATCCAATTGTTGCATGGGTTCAATCATTTTGACCCAGTCACAAATGGTTACCTTGGTATTTTTCCACCTGGCAATGATTTTGATGGATGATGTGAAGTGCCCTTCAGGCCAAGCGCTTGATGCAGCAACTCCCATTTGGTGTCGCTGGATGCTCAGAAACGGCTTGCAGTGATGCAAAATGTTGATTTCTCATCGGATGAATGGATCAAGTGCTGGGTATCACCAGAAATGGTGGGTACCGGAAATCGTATGTGATGAACGGATCAACTCTACCACTCCGCAGTTTGGCTTTCCAGGTGCCGCTCTCGAGCTTCTTCGGTTTGCCTTCGCTCTCGCAGATGCAGAAATGCTCTGAGTTGGACGCTGAAGGTGCGGCCGATGAAACGAGTCCACAAGGGAACCGCAACGATGCCCTGGCACGGTACCTCTGAAGTGTACTGTACCAGCTTTAAGTCCAGTTGTGGAATTGATACCAGTTCACTTCTTGATATATCCTGGTATCAATTCCCCCACAAATGGCCTCAGTTCTGTGGAAGCGTAAGGCTACCTGTAAACCTGTCAGTGGCTTCCTTCCGTTTAACTATCACAGCCAGGCCTACTCCGGAAAGCGTTGACTCGTGACTCCGAGCTGGTGATTCAAGGCGCTTTTGCCCGCTCCCTAAATTCTTGAACAATCCAAGCTTTGGTTTTGATGTGTTTGGTTGAACAATCTCTTTCTGTTAGTGTCCTTCCTCTTGTCAAAGCCCCATTCTTAGTGGTAAAACCACCAATTCGCGGTGCTACAACCTGCATTTTTGGTGGTTCGCCCACCCATCCCAGTTTTAACGCTACCGAGAACGGCTCAAATCTACCGCTGAGGTCGCGTGGCAGCCACGTGCGGAGAAGTTGCGCAAGTCAGTGGAGCAGCTGTTTTTGGAGCAGGAGACGATGGTTTTTTGTCGTTCCAATGGTGAGTTGTCTATATCCCCATTTTGGATCAGCTAAGGATGAATCTAGGGTTAAGATTGGGGGGTATATATCATGGGGCGATATCAAAAAACAATGGTATTAAACTGGAAGATAAGACTGATAACAACCGCAAGAATGGTGGATAAATCTGATAGAAACCTGCAAAACTGGAAGATAAAACTGACAAAACCGATACAAACAGGATTGAGATGGACTGGGTTAGTACCAAGAATTGAGCTTAACCAACGAACATGGGGTAAGTTAAGATATTGAATACAAGAGTGATGATCGCAGCAACTGACACTAGTGAGGTAGAATTTGGTTGAAACATGTTCGAACGGGGTCTACCAACAAAAACGGTGGATAAATGCAACCATGATGATCAGAATAGCTCAAGAGTGCAGATAGGAAGCAACAAGTGATGGGATTCCAGTCAACTAATGGGATTCGACATGAACAATTGGAGAGTTTAACATGGATCGCTCAGAAGCTACATATAGAGCTTTCACTTAAAACCCCGAAAAGTTGGGATGGTGGAATTCGAGCAACAGACAGAAAACCAGGAGCAACGAAAACTATGACAGTCACTGATGGGCCTTAGAGTTGGATCAGAAGCCCTGTGTCACGTTGGGTCGGACTACCTGGTTTACTTGGATCCTTTTGGGAATTTCACGGAGCATTTTTTTAAGGAGAAAATCGTCAGTTTTCAGGTGTTTGGAGGACCTTTCAGGCGATCCTTGGAAGTTTTGGCATCCCTTGTCACATTTGGAAGGACTCACAGCTGCACAGCAAGATCCAGCAAAGCGGAGATGTGCCACTGACATGGTCCGATCCACAGCTTCCAATTTGATCGTCAACCTTGGCACTAATCATACAGATAAACCATCATAAACGGACAATTTTTTGAACCCAGCAGGAATGGACGGGGTTATAACATGTTATAACTGTCCCATTTCTCCCTGAGGATCGTGGGAAGATACGCAGAGAAGCTGGGCCTTGCGCATTCCAATGTGCGCACCTCTGAGGCTAGCTAGCCTCAGAAAGTCGAAAGATATTTGGATGAGAACGCATTGTTTAAGGTAGAAACACTGAAACACCTTTAATCAAGCTTTGTACTTGTTTGTATCTTTGGAAAATGAAATATCATGGACTTTCCAATCATGCTATTTTTCCATACAGTCCATACATATCAATGCAATTGTGTGTGGAAACTTGAAACTGATGTTGCAGGCATTGGCAGAAGCAGTTGCAGGAGCGCTCCAGGACTCTCAGGTTTTCAAACTGAGACTTGTGTGACGGGTGTCAAACTTTCCATTGAAAGAAAAATCAGGGATGTTTCATGATGTTTCCCCTTTTTCAACCCCATCTTTTTGATGTTTCTCAATCACTTTTTGCAGATTTTCCGCCGTCAGGTTCTGCGCGTGGACCGTCACCGCTTGACCGTCCGCAAGTGCCGGAGCCCGGAGCGTGCCCCTGAGGACCCGCGATCAGGTGGAGCACCAAACTGGTGGGTTGTCGTTGTGTCTTTGAAACCAAAAAAAACGTGTGTGTAGAATGCATGGGTTGCGAAGAAGGCCATGTGTTTTTTCAAAGGGTTTTCTTCACAGTGGGACGTCGGTTTATCATGTCAATTTGGGGATAGATTTGGAGCGTTCATGGAGCTTCACTTCTGCCGAAGGTGAGACAGATCGCCAGGCAGGGAGAAGTCACGAGACAGTTTCTCTGGTATCGAAACGTGAACAATGAGCTTGCTGGACAATTTTGTAGACATTTTCCAGTTGTCCAATTTTTTTCCATCAATCTGTGTTTCTTTGGTGTCCAATTGTTTTCCCATCAATCTTTATGTCCATTGATATTCATGAAATTTTCAGTTTAATTGGTGTTCTTTCCATTGAAAACCAACTTTGAAAACCGGTTTGGTCATCCCACACCGATTGGTCACTGATTTGCCAGGAAGGGGGAGAGCGCAGGGGAGGCCGTAGGGGTTCCTCAGTTTTTCCGATTTCGTGGGGTCAGCAGTAAAAATTGCGGTTGATAGCCTGGTTTGATGTTCCGAGTGCCTGAGTTGAGTGAACCTTTGGTTCAGAATGGCTGAAGAGAGAAAAACTATGGTCATGTGACTATGTGTACCACTCTTTCAATTTAGGCATTCAAAATATTGAGGTGCAGCAAGTCAGTTGCGACAGCTGCTGGACTTCTACTTTGAACCCTTCACGCTGCAGCACAACAGGCACTTCCCAGATGGGCAATCGGCAAGGGCCACGCAAACATTTTGCCGTTCCGGTCTGTAGCAACATAATGGAATACATTGACATGCATTATATTGATCACGAAGCGAAACACAGAAGCTTTCGAGCTAACTTGTTTTTAGGTTTACCATCTGGTTATTTAACATAGCCATGGAAATGGCCCATTTATAGATGGTTTACCTATTTAAAATGGTGATTTTCTATGGCTATGAAAGGAAGGCAAACATCACTGGCTTCCCAGGTGCCGAAAACATCACCTGTGAACATCACCCGTGCGAGGTATCTACTGGACTTGATCCTGAAGAGAGCGGACGCTCCACAGGTGCATCAAGTGCATCAAACCATGGGAATTTCTGGAGTTTCTGCATGGTGATTCTGAAATCCCAATCTGAAATCATCTACAAAAAAATGGTTTTCTAGCAGATTGTCCAATGCCATTTACATCATTTATTCATATTTATTCATGTTTATTCATGTTTTTCTGGATTTCAAGAGTACTTCAACTGGTAGATCGGTGCTAACCATAGTGAACCCCCTATGGACACCTCAGGACAAAGGCCCTTGGCGAGTGGAGGCCTGGCGACAACGCCATTTCGCTTGTCAGAATGGCGTGTTACCAAATGCTTGGTGATTTATATGCATACACACATAGGTATGTATATATATATTATGTATATGTTATATTATGTTATGTATATATATATAGAGAGAGATATGGTTGTTCCCTCCGACGGGGTGTTCACGCGCACACACACACTGCTGAATGTGCATTTTGTACTGTTTTTTACAGTGTTTTCTGCTTCTCTACAATGCTGCCCTGGGGGGGGGAGGGGGGGGGCAGGAACAACTGATGTAACTGATGGTACAGGGGGGGGATGTTAACGTTCCATGTAACTTGCTCACGTTGTTGATGCTACGCCACGCTGGGGTGGGGGGGATGTTAGCTGACTTCTTGTTCAACTAGCCAAACTTCTGACTCAGCAAAGATGACAAACCAAGTCGGCCGCGCGTGAACAGGCCGTCCGACCGTGGTTGTTTATATTTTAGATAGTTCCAATGTCATGCAATGGGATAATTAAATTAATTAAATCACCGTTTTTCATTGGATGATGATTGGTTCTTTTTTGGAATCATCCCACTATGGAACTATGATTCGGCCAGGCGCTTCAGAATTGCCGCTTCACTTGGGAAGATTTGCAGGGCCTTGGGCGAATCCAGTCTGCATTGACAAAGCTTGGGCCTCAGGCCTCAACATGCCCAGCATTGCCCAGCTATTCAGTAAACTAAGATAGCTATGGAAAATGGCCTATTAATAGGTGATTCACCATGATTTACCTCTGTTTGGTGGAATGTACTCTGCAAGTCTGGGTTTCAGAGGGTTTCAGAGATTTCAAATCTTTCACTAAATAAGAAACGCTGCAGGATTCAAAGTTTGATTGGCCCCAAGAGTGGATGATGTAAAGCAATCTGCATCTCCGGTTTTTTTTTGATCGCCTCTCAAAGAAAGTTGGCTTCCGAGATTGCCAGTATTTTTCGGATGTCTTTTTTTAATCCCTTGGATAATCAATGCGTTTTTCAAGCAGGTTGCAGAGCCGCCCTGATGGGATGGTCGAGCTGAGAGATTTGAAGCACTTGAGCTGCGACGATGGCCACTTGGACGGCTAATAGTCTGATGGGTTGATGCCCAAAAAACATGGGTGTACCGGAAAAAAACACTTGGTTTTTTCTTGATATGGTTATAACTTATAACTATTTATAACTTATCGCTTATAACATATAGATTATAGATCTAGCATCTGTATATACAAATGATGCATTTGCTATTTATGTAGAGCAGCTAATCACATAGAAGATTGGGTATAGAGTACTCAGGGGCATCCAACCATGGCATCACTGGATCGTTTCATTCCCGTTCCGAGGTCAGTTCCATTTGCGCACCAAGCTGGAAGTGCGAAATTTTGTCCACGCCGAGAATGTCTCCAAGGAGAGACGCCTTGTTTTTGCTCCATAGATCTGCATAGCATTGGTTGTTCTTTGCACTTGTGCAGGATGTGGCTGCCGGCATCCTAATGTATCCGCTTTGAAACGGAGATAAGGATGGAAAACATATGAACGAAAGATAACGAAAGAGTAACCGCGAATATCAGGTTGCAACAAATCCAACAAGACGCACTTGGATCAGAGCAGACCTGTCTCACTGGCTAAGGGTGCTGCAGTGAGGCTGGGCACTCTCTTTGAGAACTGTTGATTGATTTAATCAATGGCAAATGAGTAAAAATAAGACATGATCACAATGATCGCAACGTGTAATTCTGCCTTTCTTCTGCGATAAATTCTGCAGGTATTTGACAGCTTCGAGGGAGCAACAACAGGAGGTGCAAATTGATCGACGTGCTATGCCCTTTATTTCTTTGAAATTGCATCTCTGGCTATGGGTCAAAATCGAATGACCCAAGAAATTGAGTGGTCAATTCTAGGAACGACCGGTCCATCTGCGCTTGTTTCCATTGCTCCGGTGCCTCAGCGCGGCAGGCCCCCAAAGGAGTGGTGAACGTGATGTCCTACGCCGTTGCAGAGATGATGACCGACCAAAGCCCAGCGGGCTGGGAGCTCAGGTCAGCCATGATTGAAGAATCCATAAGAATCCTATGCCTATTGGGCCTATTGGCTTATCATGGCTTATCCCTGTTGATTTAAGTTATTGATGAGATCAATTGGATCATTCCCCAGGATTTGATGAGTTCCCAGCCAAGGGAAACCATAAAAACGTGGCGCCAAGGACAGCAGCGTCTGGCAAAGGTGAAGCGTCAGATCTTGGTGTATCGAACAGCTGGGCACTCACGTTCACGGTGACACAGTTACTGTAGGGGTAAACTGAATGGTGATATTCATGGGGATAACTATTCATTAATGATTAGTCATGGTGAATTGTTGATGGTTTGGTTGCTGGTTTCATGGGGATATTGGTTGATTTCATGGATTTATACATGTGATCAAGCAAGCGTGGATCGATTCAGGCACCGATTATAGCCCCATAGTCCCTTGCTTGTGGATGCTGTCACAGACACTGAACCATCCACATGCTTGAATGTTCTTGGTCTTGAATCGTAGGTGCTGTTTTCGACAATGCATTGAACGATTTACCAGCAAAACAATCCAACAGGAGTTTGAGTTTTGCACCACTTTGTTTCCAAGCCAAGGACTTGATTTGTTTGCAGGCTGGGCGTAAAACACAGTGTGCGGACAAGCAGTTGCTGTCGCTGTGTCTCCAAGTGCAAGCTCTGTGCACCGCAGCTCTTGATGCTTGAGTTTGGCCTTTAGTGCAGATTCTCATGTGGTGATCCGCAAGTTGTTCCATCTCACATTCGCCATGTTTCCTGCAGCCAACCCAAAGGTGAATTTACTCAGGGAGTCAAAGTTTTTGAGACACGATTCACACCAAGCCAGCTATTTTGATGTGAAAACCAAGTGCTATCATTGTGCTATTTGTATCTATTTGTGCTATTTGTGCTATTTGTGCTAAGTGAACTGATCCAGATCGCCATCAGATTTCGTCGAGTTGCCATGGAGTCGTTGAGATTCTCTCCCTCGAGCCCATCTTCCATTCGCAGCTAGGAACATCTCCAGTTGAACGGGAAAAACCTGTTTGAATCTGTTTGATATTCTCTTCGTGGCTATTTTCATGGGATGATTTCCACTGTGATGTTTGATGACAAGCGGTGTCTATCATTCTGGAGCAAGTGCAAGGTACTGCTCATAAGCTTGCTCCTACACTCGGCGCAGTCCATCACATTCGCAGCCAACGCAACTTTCAGCCGCCGCTTCTTCGCAAAAGAAATGCTGTTTTTTTCAACTCAAAAAATCTGCAGACTTTGACTTTGCACCTCTGCTTCCAAGCTGTTATAATTGTTATGATCCAGCATTTTTTCACCATATTTCGACCATATTTTACCAGCCAGGTACTCGACCGCTGTATGCACCGCCTCCACGCTGGCGGCTTTCCTCCGCCGCCGTGCCACGGCGCGGCGGGTCCAAGGCGACCGGGGCAACGCCGACGGAGCCATGGGGGATCTGCAGATGGCGCTGGCGAAGGTTCCGAAGCCCTTGTGGCCGCTGCTGATGAACGCGGTGGAGGTGGGAAGATTATGGAAGATTGGGATTCCTGGGATTCCTGGGTCAGTAGATTGGCTACTTCGTCTCTTGGTTTCCTCTTTGAAAGGCTACAACAAACATCAACAAACAAGCTACCTGGATTCTGTGGACGTCTGCAACATGAATCTGTCGAATCAAAATGAATCAAATGCATCCGCTGAGTCTGTAATTTTTCATTTTCAAGTTCAACTTTTCCAAGACAAAAAGGAACATATGTATAATATGCTTGGTAAATCTCCACCAATTTTTCCATGTTGAGCATGTTTTAGGTCCCGGTGAATCCCAGGCCGCCGTAGACACTTCGACCACTTCGACCACTTCGACTTCCCTGGCGCAGTCCATCAGCTCCGCCGCAGAGGGCGTGGCCACGTGGCGCCAGCGGCTGTCGCTGGGCCGCATTTGGCGCGACGAGGAGGGCGCCAATTGGCCACAGGAACCCACGCTGCGCGGTGGATGGCAAGATCTGCTGAGAGAGAAAGGTGGGGAAAAGATGGGAAAGGTATTTTTGTGTATTTTTCAATGGTGAGTTGGTCTTGGGTGAGAAAATTGGAGACATCGATGACCTGGAAGAATTTTGGGCTTGCAGACAGGTGGCATGGTGATCTTGAGCATTTGGTGGATGCTTCCCTGATGAGTTCCCAAGAAGTTGCTTACATCATTGATATCCAATAAAAGTAAGTGGTGATTTTGAAATTGCAAAGGTTGGATGGCGATGTCTTCCCTAAAACACATGAAAATGGGTGTGATATCAACATTCCAAGAATTGGTATGGTTTCACTGACCATGTTGATGTCTAGATTGGTGCCTGACATGGTGATCAAATTGCATAAACGACAAATAGAATGACTTGCACAGCGTCGCCAGGTCTCCCACAGCTGGTGAAGAAATATCCCAAGTTGGTGGATCCATTGATGGCCAGTCTGTTGGAAACCGTGGGCCAGTTCCATGAGGAAGTGGAAGAGGCTGAGGCCCAAAAATCGGACTCAGGTGATGCCGATGCTGATGCAGCTGCAGAGGGACAGGGTCAACTGGGTCAACAGCAACAAAGCGATGCTACCGACGAAGCTGCAGATGGCGAAAATGGCGAAAATGGCGATGAATCTGAGGAAAATGAGGAAAAGGATGGGGAGAACCAGTCCAGCAACATTCGTGAAGCTGTGGGTCACTCGTTAGTGCTTTTGAACTCTGTTGTTTTCAATCCTCCAAAAGAAATGGATACAGCAATATACATATACGTAGATATGCATGTGTACAAACATATACATGTCTATATATATATGTGTATATATATATAAATATATATAAATATATATAAATATATATAAATATATATATATATGCAGTGATGATCCAAAATGGGGTGGCTGGGCTCAACCACCAGGTCAGAAGCTCATGAAGAAACTCTCCGAAGAACTGGGCCCCGTGGCCGATGCCATCAACGCCGCAGACTCCGCTTTCGGCGCCGGTGCAGGGCAGGGGATGGTGGATGGCATGGAGGGCGATGGGTTCGGCTTGGCACAGGGCCAGTGGCACCAGAGTCTCAGTGATGACCAAAACGAGGACTGGATGATGGGATGATGCGATAGCCACAGTTGAGGCAATGGTGGTTTGAAAGATGCTTTCCATTCTTGGGAATTTCAACAGTTGTTTCCATTTTGCGAAAAATGCGAGGCGATATGTCCGACAAGTTTTGCTATTCTGGAAATACCATCAATGCTGGATTGGTTAAAGGGAATATATTTTAAGAAAACTTAAGTTTCTTACATGAGGCGTGGGAGACGATTCTACCAGTTTGCAAGTGGGTTGAACCCCCCAAAACTCCGAGCTAGATCCCAGTTGTTGTGCAGTTCAAGTGTTATTTTGCCATTGCTAAAATCACTAAACGTTGACCTTCAGGTATTCTTTAATTTGTTCATTTGTTTCATGTATAAACCATGATTCATAGTGATATAGTTTTCATTGATAGTTTTCATGATTTCATCACGACTTTTCCAGCTGTTTTGGTGCTATCCTCCCCAGGAGCTGCTTCAGCTGGCGAAGATCATGCGCGACAGTCCCGAGCTGCGCGAGCTGCTGCGGAACCTGGGCCGCCGCTCGGCGGTGCGGGGGCCGCTGCACAAGCTGCCGGAGGATGGGCCATGTGGCGACGGCTGATGATGAATATGTCATAATATGTCTATGTGTATATATGTGTATGTATGTATATATATATGTGTATATGTAATTATGTATCTATAATATATATATATAATTATGTATATAGGATTTGATGGGAATTCTTGTATCTATGTTGGTATTCTATTTTGGGATTTATGAGGTTTATGGCGTTGAGTCCATGCAATTAATAAGGTCCAAACATTGGATTCAGGGGGTATCAAGCCACGAAGTACGGATTGATACACGGTCGATTCGGCAGGAGATCCAGCTAATTTTGGATGCCATGTTCCAAAAAGGCTGCGGAAATCAAGAAATCAACCCATCCCCATAATGCCATAGCCATCCCCAGTGGTATCGTGGTATCATAAAACACATAAAACACCAATGGTTTCCCTATTCCCCTACCCATCCCCGTCATAGGAGATTTGGCAAGAATCTGGTCCCGAAGGCGTGATTCGCTCTCCTGCTGCCCCTGCTGAAGCCACAGGAGTTACGTTGTCAGGCGCAACTGGGGAAAAGTTGTGGAAGTCTTGTGGGAGTTCTCAATTGGCATGTAGATTGGTGCATTTTTTTTGCATGTTGGTGCTATAAGATTTTCAGAGATGTTTGCAGTTGCACCAGATTCTTCTAACCCTAGATTATGATATATATATATTACTGGTTGGTGGTTTGGAACATTTTTTATTTTTCCATACATTGGGAAGAATCATCCCAACTGACTCATATTTTTCAGAGGGGTAGGGTTTAAACCACCAACCTGATTATGATTATGACTATGATTATGATTATGATTATGACGATGTTTCCAAAGTTTTTCAAAGTTTTTCTGGTCCAGGCAACTGGGACACCATGCTGCCAAGTGAAGCGCAGTTGTTGGCGGCCAAGAGTCCCACGCATCTCGGCGTAAATCATGGCATGAATCATGGCAATTCATATGACAATTCATGGAATATTAATGATATATGAATGATATATTAATGATATATTAAGGATATATATATATATATTGTATATACATGTATATACACACTTGAGATCATTTCTGAAGTGGGTATCAATTGATATTTAATGAATTTATGGACCATTGATATCCATTGATCGTTGATGTTTAGAGGAGAAATGTCCGTCATTTCCACTCTTGCATCATGTCCATTATCCATAAAAGCTAATCACAATAAAGGACAATGGTAAGAAAAGATATGACATCATTCGGTATGACAATGATAATGATTTTTGAGAATCATCATGGCCACTGTTGCGCTTCACAGCGGTGTCGCTCAACTCAGTCCAGGAGTGAAACCTCCAGGAATCCGTGAAGAGAATGTGATTTTGCTCTTGGATATGGCCTCTTCAAGATGTACAATTTAGTTGCTGAATTCCAGTTGGTATCTGTTCAATAATCTTGTACAGCCAATGTGATAACCCATACAAACTTCCAAATGGATCTATCAATGCAGTGGTAGAATGAATATGAGCCCTGGAATAAACCCCAGTTGTATTGTTGTGTTTCGATGTTCCAGGCTTCGTACTTTGCATCACGCTCGACGCATTGAGCAATCCTTGCTATGCTACGATCGCAGCTCCTGGTTACAAGATGACTCCAAAACCACAGGAAGGCTGGAACCAGTTGGACATACCATGTTAATCCATGTTACAAATGGAGGAATCTGAGACAAGATGTAAATATGTGTGTGGTTCACCATATTTCTCCAAGTGCTTCTCCAAGTGCTTCGACCTTACCACGGCGGCAGGTCGGAGATTAGGCCCCTGGGGAAAGCAGGTCCTCTCATCGTGCGCCTTTGGCAACAGACGAGAAGTGCTGGCACTGAAAGCAAACAGGAACATTCTAACATTCTTGTTGGTGTAGTCGTATTGCAAATTTTGTCGATCCTATTTGTTGACGATATTCCCAACTCATATCCCCCTTGACTATTGTGACTATATTGTGTCACAAATCCCACATCTTCCGCTCATTTTGTAGATATTTGTTGGTCTATTCTTATCCCCATGTTGTTGGGGTTTCCATTTTGTGGACGGCTCCAAGAACCGAAAAATCCACGAATCGCAACTGAGGTGCTTAGACACCAGCGGCAGCATGATGGGCGATCGCGAACTTCTCAGCAAAGCCCTAGTGGTGGAATGTGTCAGGCCCAACGGACTGCCAATGGTGACCTGAAAAAAATGCATGGTGGTTGTTATTTTATTGTTATGGACTATCACTTTTTACAGGCAAAAGCATCTCTTTTTGTTGGGACTATTGGACACGGAGTTTGTTGGTGGAATGCTAGTGCTTTACAACCAGCCATTCAATTGGAGGTTTCTATTTCCAAATCCCTCCAGTTGTGAGGTAAGCCTAAAATCATGCGTAAAATCACCGGGACTCAGCTTCCTATCTCGGTAAGCTGCCCCAGGCAAGCACACCGCCAGCGGCGGCCGTGCTATTTGTATGCCTTTGCTGGGGCTGGGAACCTGCAGCCCGGCTGGAGACCAATCAATGGACCGACATGGACTTGGCGTTTATATATGTTTATATGATTTATATGGAAAAATGTCAACTTCTACGACATAAGGATGGTTCAGTTCAGGATTGCAGTTTGACGAGGTGGATATGTTCCACCTGTTAACCTCATCCCATTTGTGGCCTCCATCGCTCCCCAGGAATGAGCTGGAACTGGACTTGAGCCAAGATGGTCTCAGGAACGGAGGGATTTTCAGGGGAAAGTGCGATACCCTGTTGCAAGGTTAAAACATCACTATCTTGGCGGGCAAATGCTGGTTCATCTTTTCAAAGAGTTGATTTGTTTTCAGGCATATCTATCTACATAGATATAGATCATACATTGATTCTATACATACAGTGTGTGTATATATATATGTTATATATAATATATATTATATATATAATATATATATATATATTTAAATATATCTATATATATATATAGCCATACATATATCGAATCCACGCACCGTCACGCACCAGAGGAAAGTTCTGAAATTCCTTCGGCAAAGCTTCGGCGGCGGGACATATTTGGAAGATGCTCTGGCAGAAGCGGCGAAGAAACTCGAGCAGCCAACCTGGCAAAATGCAGTGCCTTGGCGCCATGGATTTTGGAGCATGGGGAGAGAATTTGTCGATAAAGGCTATGCAATATGAAGATATGTTCGTTGTATAGATATATAATACATATGTATGTACATATACATATATACATATACATAGATATATGTGGTAATATAGGTAATATAGTTTGCTGTACTAGTTGGCATATACTATATAGTCATAACCTGGCATCATTGAAATATGTTTCACTTGAATGCTTTGGAGGAATCTTTTTCTGTCGGGGCCACTGCTCTCGTTCGCCAAAAGCAAAAATCCGTCAGAGCCGCTGCTCGAGTTCGCCAGTGATACATCCCCAATAAGTTTCCCCCTATATTTGACTATATCAGATATGCCGTGGCTCAGGATAATTATCTCAAAATTGGGATACGATGAGATGGTCTATGACCCACATTTTACTAATTTGATGAGTCCTTTAGTACACTTCGAGTTCGACCCATTTTGGACAGCGTCAGCCACTGGAATTGGCCACAGAAGTTGCTTCAAGGACCTTCTGATTGTTACAGATGGTGAGCTGAATGTGCAACTTGGCCGTCAGGCGAGCCTTCAACTGGGATCCTGCAAGGTTTCAAATATGCCGACGTGGCTCCTTATCTAGCCAGTTTAACCTGTTTTTATAGTCACACCCAAGTAATGTCTGGAATGTGAGGGAAGTACTGCAAGATTTTTCCAAGTGACACAGTCAAGGATGACGTTCAGTTTGTGATGCTTGGTTCATATCCTACAAGTGTTTTGTGGTTGGTTGGATGTGTCTGCAGATATTTGTTGAAGATATGTACAGACATCATATAACAACATTGTATATATTCACTGTATATCTCCTGAATTTTAAAAATGTATGTTTGTACACCGATGTTTGTATATCAAAATGTATCATGTACATCAGCATGCAGTATATGCATGTACATCAGTCCAGATCATTAAAAACATACAATACGTAATGTATGGTACATGTAGTATATGTAATATGTAATATATATATATATACACATATATGTATAGAAATTATACACATCATCTATACATATCCAGATAGATAGATAGATAGACAGACAGATAAATAGATAGATAGACAGATAGATAGATAGACAGATAGATAGATAGACAGATAGATAGATAGACAGATAGATAGATAGACAGATAGATAGAACGATAGATAGATAGATAGATAGAAAGATAGATAGATAGATAGAAAGAAAGATAATAGATAGATGATTCGATAGCTTCGACTAGATAGATTAGATAGATCGATAGAAAGATAGATAGCTAGCAGAATTAGCTCGATTGATCGATAGCTCCTTGCGTCTCGATTTCTCGTCGCTTTCGCTCGCTCGCTCGATTGATCGATCGCCAGTGCTTGGACCAGAGCATCGCTCGCTGCACGCTCGCTCGCTCGCTCGCTGCAGCTCGATTCGCTTCGGTCTCGCTTCGTATCGCTCGCTTGCTCGCTCGCTGAACATCCAGGGTCGGAAAAGGACAAGGGGAGGGTATGGTAATAGGGAATGAAGAAGGGGTGCCTATTTCTATCTCGCCTCTTTCTCTCTCTCTCTCTCGGCTCGTCTCTCTTTCTCTCTCTATTTATCTCTCTCATCTACTTTGACTATCTCTACTTTGCTCGCTCGCCTCGCTTGCTAGCGCGCTCGCTCGCTTGCTCGCTCGCTCTCGTAGCTTGCTTGCTCTCTCGCTCCTTGCTCAGACTCGCTCGCTCTCGCTGCTTGCTCGCTCCGCTCGCTCGCTCGCTCGCCCGCCGCTCCCCGCTCGCTCGCCCGCTCGCTCGATCGCCCGCTCGCTCGCTCGACCCGCTCGCTCGCTCGCCCGCTCGCTCGCCTCGCTCGCCCGCCTCGCTCGCCCGCTCGCTCGCTCGCTCGCTCTCCCGCTCGCTCGTCGCTCGCCCGCCGCCCTCTCGCTCTCTCGCCGCTTCGCTCCCTTAGCTCGCTAGCTCGCTCCTCCTCGCCCGCTCGCTCGCTAGCTGCTCGCTTGCTCGCTCTCTCAGCTTGCTCGCTCCGCTTGCTCGTCGCTCGCTTGCTCGCTCGCTCGCTTGCTCTCATCTCTTGCTCCTCGCTCGCCTCGCTTGCTTGCTCGCTCGATCGCTCGCTTTGCGCGCTCGCCTTGCTCGCTCGCTTGCTCGCTCGCTCGCTTGCTCGCTCGCTCCCTTGTTCGCTCGCTCGCTCGCATCGCTCTCTCTCGCTCGCTCGCTGGCTCCCTCTCTCGCTCGCTTGCTCGCTCGCTTGCTCGACTCGCTGCTCGCCTCGCACTCCGCTCACTTGCTCGCTCGCTCGCTCGCTCAGCTTGCTCCTCGCTCGCTGGCTCCTCGCTCTCTTGCTTGCCTCGCTCGCTTGCTCGCTCGCTTGCTCGCTCGCTCTCTCGCTTGCTCCTCTCGCTCGCTTTCAGCTCGCTCGCTCGCCCGCTCGCTCGCTCGCTCGCTTCGCTCTCTTCGCTCGGTCGCTTCGCTCGTCGCTTGCTTGCTCTCTGCTCCTCTTGCTCGCCTCGCTCGCTCGCTTGCTCGCTTGCTCGCTCGCTTGCTCGCTCGCTCGCTTGCCTCTCGCTTGCTCTCTCGCTCGCTCATCTTTGCTCGCTCGACTCGCTTTCTCGCTCGCTCGCTTGCTCGCATCGCTCGCTTCCTCGCTTCCTCGCTCGCTTGCTCGCTCGCTCGCTTGCTCGCTGCTCGCTCGCTTGCTCGCTCGCTTGCCTCGCTTGCTCGCTTTCATCGCTTGCTACGCTACCGCTGCTCGCTTGCTCAGCTCGCTCGCTTTCTCGCTCGCTCCTCATCTTGCTCGCTCGCCTCGCTCGCTTGCTCCTCGCTTGCCTCGCTCGCTTGCTCGCTCGCTCGCTTGCGCGCTCCCCCGGCCTCGCTCGGCTTGCTCGCTCGCTTAGCTCGCCTCGCCGCTCGCTTGCTGCTCGCTGCGCTCGCTTGCTCGCTCGCTCCGCTCGCTTGCTCGCTCTCTCTCGCTTGTCTCGCTCGCTTGCTCTCCTCCGCTCTCGCGCTTGCTCAGCCTTGCTCCGCTCGCTCGCTTGCTCCTCGCTTGCTCGCTCCTCGCCGCTTGCTCGCTCGCTCGCAGCTCTCTTGCTCGGCTCGCTCGCTCGCTTGCTCCTCGCTCCTCGCTTGCTCGCTCGCTTGCTCCCTCGCTCGCTGATTGCTCGCTCGCTGCTCGCTTGCCGCTTCGCCTTGCCCTCGCTTGCTCGCTCGGCTCGCTCGCTTGCTCGCTCGCCCGTCGGCTCTGCTCGCTTGCTGTCTCGCTTGCTCGCCTCGCATCGCTTGCCTCGCTCGCTTGCCTTTCTCGCTCGCTCGCTACGCTTGCTCGCTCGCTCGCTTGCTCGCTCGCTAGCTCCTTGCTCCTTGCCGCTCGCTCTCGCTCGCCTCCTTGCTCCCTTGCTCGCTCGCTTGCTCGCTCTCTCGCTTTCTCAGCTCGCCTCGCTCGCCTTGCTCGCTCGCTTGCTCGCTCGCTCGCTTGCTCCTCGCTATGCTCGCTCGCTCTCTGCTCGCTCGCTCGCTCGCTGGCTCGCTTCCGCTCGCTCGCTGTGCTGCCTCTTGCTCGCTCGCTCGCTCGTTGCTCGCTCGCTCGCTCTGCTTGGCTCGCTCGCTCGCTTGCTCGCTCGCTCGCTTGCTCTCTCCTTGCTCGCTCCGCTAGCTTGCTCGCTCCGCCTCCTTCTTGCTCGCTCGCTCGCTTGCTCGCTCTCTGCTCCCGCTCGCTTGCTCGCTCGTGTCGCATCGCTCGCTTGCTTCGCTCGCTCGCTCGCCCGCTCGCTCGCTCGCTTGCTCGCTCCTCGCTGCTCCTCGCTGCTCGCTCCGCTCCATTTCTTGCTCGCTCGCTCGCTCGCCTCTCTTGCTCGCTGCGCTCGCGTGTTCGCTCAGCTCGCTCTTGCTCGCTAGCTCGCTCGCTTGCTCGCTCGCTTGCTCGCTCCTGCTCTTTGCTTGCCTCGCTCCTCGCTTGCTCGCTCGCTCGCTCGCTCTCTCGCTCGCCCGCCCGCTGCTGCTCGCTCGCCTGCGCCCGCTCGCTCGCTCGCTCGCCCGCTCGCCCGCTCGCTCGCCCTCTCCTCGCCGCTGCCCGCTCGCTTAGATATACAGATAGATAGATAGATAGACATATAGATAGATATATAGACAGATTAGATAGAAGATAGATAACGATAGATAAGATAGATAGACAGATAATAGATAGATAGACGATAGATAGATAATAGACATAAGATAGATAGATAGACAATGATAGATAGACGATAATAGATAGATAGATCGACAGATGCTAGATAGACAGATGATGACAGATAGATAGATAGATAGACAGATAGATAGGATACAGATAGATTAGATAATAGGACAGATAGATTAGACAGATAGATAGATTTAGAAAACTAGACCCGATGATAGATAGATAGACAGATAGATAGTATGCCAGATAGATAGATAGAATAGATAAAAGGATAGACGATAGATGATAGAAGACTATAGATAGATAGATAGACATGATAGATAGATAACAGATAGATAGATAGATAGACAGATTGATAGATAGATATATAACAGATAGATATATAGATAGATGACGATAGATAGATAAATAGATTAGACAGATAGATAGATAGACAGATAGATAGATAGACAGATAGATAGATAGATAGACAGATAGATAGATAGACAGATAGATAGATAGATAGACAGATAGATAGATAGATAGAGATTGATAGATAGATAGATAGATAGATTGATTGATAGATAGATAGCTAGATAGATAGATAGACAGACAGATAGATTGATAGATAGATAGACAGATAGATAGATAGATAGACAGATAGATAGATAGATAGACAGATAGATAGATAGATAGACAGATAGATAGATAGACAGATAGATAGATAGATAGACAGATAGATAGACAGATAGATAGATAGACAGATAGATAGATAGATAGACAGATAGATAGATAGATAGATAGACAGATAGATAGATAAATAGATAGACAGATAGATAGATAGACAGATAGATAGATAGATAGACAGATAGATAGATAGATAGACAGATAGATAGATAGATAGAGATTGATAGATAGATTGATAGATAGATAGATAGATTGATTGATAGATAGATAGATTGATTGATAGAGAGATAGATTGATAGATAGATAGCTAGATAGATAGATAGATAGACAGACAGATAGATTGATAGATAGATAGACAGATAGATAGATAGATAGACATATAGATAGATAGACAGATAGATAGATAGATAGACAGATAGATAGATAGACAGACATATAGATAGATAGACAGATAGATAGATAGATAGACAGATAGATAGATAGATAGACAAATAGATAGATAGACAGATAGATAGACAGATAGATAGATAGACAGATAGATAGATAGATAGACAGATAGATAGATAGATAGACAGATAGATAGATAGACAGATAGATAGATAGATAGACAGATAGATAGATAGACAGATAGATAGACAGATAGATAGATAGATAGACAGATAGATAGATAGATAGACAGATAGATAGATAGATAGACAGATAGACAGATAGATAGATAGATAGATAGACAGATAGATAGATAGATAGACAGATAGACAGATAGATAGATAGACAGATAGATAGATAGACAGATAGATAGATAGACAGATAGATAGATAGACCGATAGATAGATAGACCGATAGATAGATAGACCGATAGATAGATAGACAGATAGATAGATAGACAGATAGATAGATAGACAGATAGATAGACAGATAGATAGATAGATAGATAGACAGATAGATAGATAGACAGATAGATAGATAGACAGATAGACAGATAGACAGATAGACAGATAGACAGATAGACAGATAGATAGATAGACAGATAGATAGATAGATAGATAGATAGAGATAGATAGATAGATAGATAGATAGGTATACACATCATAAAAACTATATCCACATCCTTTCCCCTATGTGCCTTGAGGAACACCGACGAAGCCTCCATCACCTCTGCGCGCTCCAGCTGTGGCACCAAAGTCACCGGTCTGGTGCTGGCTGACACTGGGGGAGTTGCCATGGACCGCAGGGGACTGGGGGACTGTGGGATGGATCTTCTTTTTTTCCCATGAGATCTTCGATTTTTTTTCAACATAGCCATTGAATTATTGGCTGGATTTTGATGTTTTTCAGGTAGCCATGACATCTCCAATTTTATGGGTTTTGGGTTTAGGGTCAGTATATTTGATATGAATCCCAAATTGAGTGATAGAATAGGGATATATCATCAACCTATTATTCAGTATTGTAGCATATAAGACCCGATTTTGGAAACATATCTGGTTGCATAGCCCTTACATAGGCCTTTTCAAGATTGTAGGCACCTTCAATTTAGGTACCTGAAATGGCCAATGAATTAGTTGTATTTTTTTGGTTATATTTGGTTATATGTGATATGGTTCCATAATGTTCCATATATACAGGGTATAAGTTAGATTATAGGGGGATGGTGTTCAAAGCCCCAGTTGGTTGATTCCTCAAATTTGGGGACAGGATACAATAAGGATGTAAAACGAAGAATATGGGGGTCTGCTGGGATTGGGAAATACTGGGAATGTGATGTAACCAACAACATGACATGTGGGTGTGTCTGAGAATGGCGCACACCCCAAAATTGCAAAATAGGGATGGTGAGTGAGCAAGAAAGAGGTCTTAAATTTGACCTGGTCTGGAGTCTGGAGCCATTGTTTTTGGTTCAGCATCGCCGGCCTAATGATTGTTGCAACTGCCATGTTTTGAATACATGCGATTACACCGTTATACCCATGTAAATTTATCTACCCATTTTTCATCATTTTTCAATCTACACATGATGGATCTACACATATGCACATTTGGCTGCTTGGATAACCAGGGAAGCCCCCTCTCATGTGCTACGGATGTAGATCTCCACAGATAGATCCGCTCTGCAAACACAGGAGCGACTCTGTGACGAGTTGTACCTCACTGGCAGATCAAGTTTCAGAGGCACCTGCGGTGATGGGCACCACCGGTCAAATCATGTGCCAAATCAACGTCTTTAATCGTAAGACGTGTTAAGACCTGACGAGGATTCTCACCATTTTGGGGGTATCTTGAAATTTTCAAGCCACATAGAAGTGTCCATTTCTGGCCACATGTTTGTCACTCTTGATGCCAGGTGAGAAAGGTCTGAGATTCCCAAAGTTGAAGAAAGTGGAGCTGGCAACTGCACGCAATTGACACTGATCAAACAGATCCAACAAGCTCTGGTAGTTCCGTGGCAACTGCAAAAGGCAGTTGCTGCTAGGCGCTGTACATAGTCCCATCAGCCAGATGTGTCCGCTTAAAAAGCTGCCAGAGTTGAACAAAGCAATGATTTTCCCCAGAAAATGCGTCGGCTTTCGACCGCAAGACACCCATTTTGTGGATGGATTCGTGGGATTTTTGCAGACCATAGTGCCATAGCTGCAGCCCGTCAGGGCTTAGATGCGAATGAGAAGATTGGTGCAAACCTTGCAACGAGCCTCGTGGAAGAAGGCTATGGCATGACTCTCAGCGATCTGTTTGGGAGTCAAAATGGACACCCAAATGCCCATGTTACTAGGAAAATGATGAGGAACCAATAAAAATTTGGGCTCAGACAACCCAAATGGATGGACTAATACTCAAAATGGCCGACTGTGTGGGTGTAACATTTGCTCCTAGGCCTCGCTTCCAGCAAGGTCACCGGAGAGGCGACGCTTAGAATTCTGTTCGACTTTGTGATGATTAACAACACACCATCTACATGTTCTCAGAAATCATCCAACCTTTTTAATTTCTTCCTGATTCTGGCAATGGACTTCACCATTTCGCTGAACTTCACAATTTTCCCCATATTTGGTGTGATTTTTTGTGATGATTTTTATGGTGCCACGGCGAAGGCCAATTGCATCCTCTGGGATCGTCGCCGTTGGGACCGGGTGAGGGAAGACGTGACATGCGACGCGCTGGCTGTGGAGCTGAAGCCCTATGAGGCCGGCGAAATTGGTGGATTTTTCCAGGAAAATGGGTGATTTCAGATGCTACTTGGTGGCGAACTACCCACTTAGTAAGTGGGTTAGTTCACCCCAGTGATTCATGTGGATTAACCCTACAAAAATCCCACTTATAACTGGGGTGAACTAACCCACTTACGAGCCGTGGGTAGTTCGCCACCAAGTAAACATTGGTAAAATCGATGATGGATTTCATCGACCGATCTGATTGGAAAACATGGTGGGTTCATCAATGGCCAAAATCTGGGTAAATTCGCTGGCGCATGAGGATGAATCACTCGAAGTTGGATGCGATTAAAAGGATTTACCCACTTGAAATGAGAGTTTCACCAACCAATCATTGTGGCAAACCTGTTGATGGTCGGTGGAAATGAGTTCATGTTCATGAATTTTGTGCTTCGACAATATGTCATAAGCCACCCAGGCCTTGTTTCTGCACAGATCCAACGTGATATTCGGGGAGACCGGGAAACCCGAGCCAATCTGCTTGCTGCTTGGGAGGATCCAGAAACTTCGATTCGTGTGGTTTGCTGGCGAGCCAATGTGCCTCAGCGTTGTCATTGTGGACATGGGACTTGGGCAACAAAAATTGACTGTATGATTTGGCTGGTGTGGATTCAGCGGAGAGAAATTCGCAGTTTTTTTTTGGAAACTGACATGTCATACATCCCCCAACAGGACCCGGATGTGATTTTCTGACAGGTGCACAACGACTCATCAAGGCTGGGATGCTACCAATCGCTTCGAAAATGATGTTTTCGGAATGTTTTGGGATGGTAGTCGGATAATACTCCACTAACGTCCATTCCACATAGAGACATAGAACATCGTAGTATGTAGCGAGGGAATGCTTCTGAGACCTGCACATCGGGATTTCCAGATAGTGCGGACCATCCCTGGATCAATGTGTTTAGATCCCGCTTCGTGACAGGCTCTTTGGTGCTCACGAAAAAGTTCTTGTGTGCACGGACCGTCTGCTATGCATTTGTGTGTTTCGAGTGAAGTTCTTGAAGACACGACAGAGATTGCGACAATCGGATTTGAGTCAAAACTTGTTAGACCTGCAACCAGGATCCACGTATCGGTCAAATGTCCATATTGCTGTCAAAAAGTCGCATTCCTTAAACCTGTGTACTATACTTCATCATCCTAATTTCATCCTAGTCCATTTCAATGATTTCATCATATATATATAATATTATATATAATATATATATATCTATATATCTATATCATATCATATATCTGGAGGACCTTTCCAGCGTGGGCGGTGCCGAAGCCGCGGGCATTGTGGATGAACTTGTGGGCCGGGGAACTTGGGTCGGGTTCACATTGGAATCCCGGAAAATAAGGATTTGATATGGCCATATTTTTCATGGCTGAACAGAACTCAGAGGTAATATGGGAAGATCATTGTTGGGGATGTTTGTTTTGATGGATTCTAGGTGTCAACTGGGAGTTTAAACATGAACAGCTAATGAATTGGAGGGCCAAACAAGACTGAACCAGAAATTGGAGGTTGAAACAACCATAACCAAGAAGACGCAAAATTGTGGTGGTTTGACCAAAATCATGAACTTCAAATAACTTCAACACCAACAGGACTACTGATTCAACCAATATACAGTAGATGCTTAACTATAAAAACTGAAAGGTTTGCTTGGGACTTGACCATCTTAAGGAGCAAATGTGTTTTGAGGAGGGAAAAGGCGGAGTGAGGGCGGAGTAAGCAACAGAACAAGCGAGGGAGGTTTGGACCGCCCACAATATCACCGCAACAAGCACCATTTGAAAACGAAAATGGGCCAAGTGGAACCGCTGTGGAATGATCTACTGACAACTTGGCTTTGTAAGGCCTGCCATCAGTTGCAGAAGAGGTCTTGGGTGAAGAGGTGCGACGTGGCGTGTTCAAATGATGGACCCACTTCCCCACGTCCAGATGTCAGTCAAGTCCATGCCACAAAAAGTCACCCCGTCATGACGACTCATAAAAAAACAACTGGTCGAAAATCAAAAATATCCCAATGACTCAAATATAGTCTAGTTGCTCTTTTACCAGCCGGATTGCCTTTGTCCAATTTTCTTCAATTTGTTTGGCAGGCTTAGACATCGCTGTTTTCACCTTTTTAAGGTGAAAACGAACAGTGATAAGCCTCTACTAACTCTAATTTAGCCATATCTCCAACTGAAAGCCAGTGCAGTAAACTGCTAGTAGATTTGTATCCATGGCCCCATGGGCCCAAGGAGCTGTGTCTGTCAGGTGGCTGCTCACATTCCAGCTCCACCTGGGCTGAGCTTGGCTGGGCTCCTGGAAAGCCATGGCTGTTTCACTGGTTTCACAGGTTTTCGTGTTCCAACAGATTCGGAAAGCGCTGGGAACTGAGGATGATTGCGATTGCGAACTGGCGCCAGTACGTTCCCAGGGGCTGAACAGGTGCCAAGTGGTCGGGTCGGCAAGTTGTGACCGTTTTGCCGCGTGGCTTGTGAGGCTGCGCCACCCGGACGCTGTGTTTTTCCTGAACATGACGCCAGTGACGGCGCTGTCAGGTGGGATGGAAGTTTGAAGCACAGATTTGTTGGACAAAAAAAAGTGCACTTGGTGACATCTAGAGACACGATTTTTGTGCAGGACATACTGCTGAGTATTTAGAGAAGATGCCGCAGGAAGTTTGCAACTCAGAAAGGCTCGCTTCAAACCAGGTCTGTTTTTATTTGTTTTACTCGTGTTGCGTCAACGAGATTGAACAGCACTTTCCCAAGGACGTGGTGCAGCAATTTCCATGCTTCCGTCTTCCCATCGTTGCCGCGTTCGACTGGCCCTGGGCCCCAATTGTGAAGCAAATCCGAAAATCCACAGCTGAGCTTTGACATGACCACATTGCAGGCAAGCCATGGAAACCTTTAAAGGTCTCCCAATTTTTTGGGCGGAAAAGCCCCTACCAGGGTTGATAGTGGTTAATAGTCCACGACAGGTCACACATCAACTGCCTCGCTTCGATTTGGATTCCAAGGCAAAATTCCGACTGGGCAGGACCCTGTTCGATCTAAATCATCTCGGCTGACCGTGAAGTTGGGAGTTTTCACCTTACGGTATGGTTCAAACCTCCACCCCAAACTTTGGAGTATGGTAAAATGTCAAAATGACCTGTTCATGGGTTCATCCGTTCATCCTGTTCTAAATCTTAACTGTTGACCATGTTGACCCCACCTGTTGAAGTTGAAGTCACGTCACTTCAGGAGCAAAACGAGCGCCAAGCCATGCCGACCATGTCCGGCTGTGAGTTTGGTAGTTTCGTGACATGACGAATCCATTCGACTGGGGGCTGCCCAGGGCGACCCGTGGCCCGTGGCACAAGCGTGGCATGTGGCAGAGGGCGCTGGGCAGAATTCGTGCGCTGCATGGCAAATTGCATGAGAACAGCAACGAAGCAATTCTTTGGACAAAATGTTTGGCATGTCTTTTTTTAGCGGCCAGATGTATCATTTCATGGTAGAAGTTTGTTTGTACACCAATGTCAAAGTTCCGCTTGGCACGAAGCTGTTCTTGAAAGTGGCCAGGCCAAAGGAATTTCAATTACTTTGGGGAGTGCCCCTTTGGAATTTTGATTTCAGGATGGACTTTGGTGGAACTGCTGACACTTTTTGTTGTTTTGACCTTGGTGAAAGTTGGTGATTCTCCAAATGGGCACATGGTCGTGCATTCAATGGCATTACGGGTGCGGCTGCGTTGAATGTGCGCTTCCTGTTGTGACCTGGCTCAGCATTTTCAAAACACAGGGCCTCCTCAAAGGACCGACCAATTCGTTTGCGGAAAAAATGCTGACCAGCTGACAGGATATGGATGTATGTTCACAGAGGTTCGGGAACGACTCAAACCATGTTGCAAACCATTGCTTGTCAGACGTTTTGGGTCATGAAGAAAACAACACCCATCAAACTCTACGCTTGCCAGACTCAATGAGTGTGTGGTTGTGGTGCTCTTCATGTGATTCGTTTCGAATGGTGTTCTGCTTGCTCACTGCTCAAACAGAAGAAGGGAAAGGCAACTGGGCCGCAGTTTTCCAGTGCCCTCCATGTTCGGGAGCCCAGTAGATGACGTTCTGCAGTGGCATTCCCAAACATCCAAGACTGATATGTAAGTAGCCTGTCTCTCAACATCTCTCAACCTGTTCAACATCTGCTGTTCTGGGGGTACCATTCTGGATATAGGTTGAAGATACTGAACCCATCTGAACCCATAAATCAACCGGTTTCAAATGACATTCTTGTGAGTCCATAGGGGGTTGACTCACTCGCATGAAAATGGCGGTCTCAGGCTGCGGCGATGCATCAGTTTCGCACTAGGCACTGGGTGAAATGGTGAATGGTGCGGTTGTTCATGACTTATGTTGTAATTGTGTATGTGTGTTGAGAAATAATGAGGTTTAATGGGGCTTAATGGAGGTCAATGCAGATTAGCCAACGGAAAATGCGAAAAATAGTCTCGCTCTTTATTCTTTGAAGCACCTGAGTGAGCTTAGCCTAGAACAAATGCGCGTCGCAGGCTTGCTGTTGGCAGCATGTCTTTCGCAGGCGCCAGCGTTTAGAGTCAGCTCACAATTTGCTTTGTGCCGAACTCACATACCCCATTTCAGCCAATAAAAAAAACACCATCAACCCTGGAATCATGTGGATGTTTCCAACTTTGAGCTGATCCAATTTGGATTTGTCCAAGAATGGGATACCCCAAATCCACTCATCATCACATTCCCCATTAGATTGCCATATCAGCGACAAACAGTCCCATTTTCGGAGCCATTTCTGGGATCTTCCCATGGTTTCATCGGAGGTTAGTGAGAGCTTCTTGCAGCCGGTGCCAACCACCGGGTGCCGACGAGCGCAGGGGGCCTGGAGCTGTTGAGTCGTTTTGATTCCGAGGAGGCAAACATGTTCAGATGGAGCACCATGCCACCATGCCACCATGCCAGAAATTCCTGGAATCCAAGTTGGCTAAGAGAGAGAACTGCACTGTGCCGTTCTCACCGCACTCTTAGCTCCGCTTGTGTTGAAACATGTACATACATATTATTATTTGGTGTATATACATACGTATATATACATATATTGTATACATTATGTCCTGAATTTGAGTCTTGGCCAGTACCATGTCCAGTTTTTCAAACTTGTCCAAAGTAAGGTGGAATACCCTCAAGTCACAGAAAGTTCATGTGTTTCAGGGTGTAGCATGCAGTGTGGCCACATTGCTGCGTGGCTAAGTAGCTGCTTTTGGTTAGAAGTACCCAGTTGCAAATCCTTTCAGAAGATGACGAGGTTTCCTTTCTCAGCGTGTCAACATGATCATTCCTGGGCTGTTTGATTTTGACCAACAGAGAAGGCTGAAAGCTGCAGGTAGTGAAATCAGCCGTTGGAAACCGCTGAAAGCTCACCAAGTTCCAACAACAGAAGTTGTGTTCCAACTCGACTGTGTCCATGTCGTTGAGGCAATTGCCAACTCGTGGGCAGACTGAGTTGCGCCAAGAGAGCAAGAGCACAGGTTCGGCCACAGTGGACGCTGGTAGATGCTGCACTTCATCTGAACGCTTTCTTTTGGGGTTCACGGATGAGCAGATGGTTAGATGATCAGAATGATCAGGGAGCCATTGAATGTCGCACGTTCCTTCTTTCCTTTCAACTGGACACGGGTTGGTTCACCTTTCCTCTGAATATCGCGTGCTCCCATAGTTCATCTTCCCTACTAGAATGACCATATATCGAGGGTAAATGTTCCATTTTTGGACAAACCCAACCTCACGCATATCTCATATGTATATTTAGATATACATACCATGTTATATATATATATACATTTATATGTGTGTAGATCATGGGGGGTGGTTGGTTGATTGATATCCACATTTCTTGGTTCTACCAAGAACCTGTCAGCCAGGAAGTGGCGTCATCTGGGCCCTCCTTGGAGTGGTGGCTTTAGCTCGCAGGCGCCAGTTCCAGTGATTCTTTTCTGACAAATTGAGGTTTCAACATGTTTCAACATGTTTCAACATGTTTCAACGATTTTAGTCACCAAAAGTGGTGATATGTGGAACCGATTCTCCGGGATGGGACACCATGAAAAAAACACTGCCACCGAGGCCCTTTGCAGGTCATGGAACTTCCCATGTCACCTCTAGCAACATGCTGGTGGCACAACCTGGGGATGCCGTGGATATCGACTCCCCAACGGTCATGGGACAAATTCCACGCAGGCTGGGATGGGATCTTAGAGGTTAGTAACTGTTAGGACTGTTAGGCTTACTATTTGGGTAATGATTTACCAAGATTTTAGATCAATTTGGATGGTTTAATGGATGGTTTAGTCGTGTTATATCATGCTTAATATGTTTAATTGTTCATCATGTTTTAATCGTGTTTTCCATACGAACCGATCGATGCAGCTCCATTGGCATGCCATGGTACCCCAGTGATCAGGCCACACGTGCGCATTGCCAAGAGGACGCTGAAGGAATGGAAACGAGGACGAAGGCCGAAAGTGATGAAATGTCTTGACCATTGGATAGCATTGGCCATCAGGGAAAAAATGGATCAATCTTGAGATTTGCCCAAGTTGAGTCAAGATGTGTGGTAGGCTGAACAGTGCCGCCAAACAGCGCTATCTGATTCGCAAAGAGCCTTCTGGGCGATTGACCGTTTGGCGACGTCCTGGAGCTCAGTGACAAACACGACGACACAACGACAGGGCGATGCTTCCCGTGTCAGGTCAGTGGGGCCAGCGCAACTTGAAGTCCAAGAAATCACCGGTGGGAACCCATGGTGATCTTGAGTGTATCAGTGTATCACCTTGCATCATTTTGCTCCACTTTCTCAACTGCTTTGAGATATGCCAGATATGCTTTGCATAATATTGAAACCGACTTCAGATTGTTGGCTTTTTGTTGCAGGCTCATTTGAGACGCCTGAAGGGCATGGTGCGTATCCATCGCGCTCAGTACAAGCGTGTCCAGGCTGCTTCAACATCCTTTCCATCGGTGTTGTTTATGCCGCATTCATGCCATGTAAACATGGAACCAGCCAATCAACATTTGTGCAGACCTGAATTTTCTGGGCAGTTGTTGCTGCACATTCACATCAAACCTCCGAGTGCCTGTGCTTTGAGCTCAGTGTGCATTTGCCGGTCGAAAAATGAATGATTTTCTCCAGATGCCATTTTGGAAAACGAGGTTCCAAAAATCGAAGGATTTTGGAGCACCATTTTCACATTGTGGACCTTTGAGCTGAGGACTTCATCATGCGCAAGTTCTGTGAGCACCGCTTGAAGGACGTGCTCTTAGCACATCACACTGCTACCAGTCACTGCCGTTGGAAAATGCTAATGACCACGTAGGGAACAGTGATACTGGGTGCTTCTGATAGCCATTATCCGCTTGTGTCACGCCTTACCCCTGATCATGAACACAGAACACACTCCAGAACCACTGTTCTATTCTCATTCTTGTGATTTGTCCTTTGATTAGTCATATATTCGTTCTATTATAGTCATTACTTTTATGCATAGTATCATTAGTAATTTTTACTATTTTGCTATGGTTGTCATGGTTATCATTACTATTGTTGTTGCTACTGTTGTTATTGCCATTGATATAGTGTTTGCTTCCCAGTTTTCCTCCCAAGCGTCAGAAATCGTCAGAAACACAGCGAAACAGCAGGACCACCTGGGCATGTCCGACGATGTCGGCGTGTCGATGTGGACCGGCCCCAAGTGCTGATCACGCGGATCACGTGGCGACGCGAGCGAACGAAAAAGTGGTCATGAAAAGGGGAAAAGGACTTGAAAGGAGCCAGAAAGGAGCCAGAAAATTCATCACATTGGGATACATTTAGGTATCATTATGTGATGTTTGGTATGAAATGGTATGAAACCATCCAATTTTTAGTGATTTGGAAAAGCCCAAAGTCATCAAGTCACGCAGCCGCTGAAAATTGTCCAGAAATATCAAAGGTTTTGCCAAGAAATATGTAGGATAGAAACAAAAGTTCAGGGCCATGCGGTGGATTATGAATTTCTGTCATTTGGGTTTTAAAAAACGAGGGATTTACCATGATCTACCCATGTTTACCTTCAAATTGTTTGGCCATGTCATGGGAAAATCATGAACCCATGGATTCTTTGAGCAAACCTGGCTTCGACATCCAGCCTTGTAGAGGCTCAAGACTCTAGTGACATCACAATGGACGCAACCATGTTGATGACAACAGGGGCTGCAGTGCTCGCGACCCATTGCTGTGTTTTTGGTTTTGACACTCGGCATTTGCTGAGTATCAAGCTTCCCTTTTTTTTAGTTTCTGATTGCGAATTACTTGTGATTCTTTCTGCTTGAGACCACCGTTGGGCTTTCGCACTTCTCCACACGTCACAATTTGACGCCCTCCTTTTGAGGTACCCAATGGAAGACCAAGGTGAAAAAAGAACCGCTATTCCGGGCTAGTCCTGCTCTTATTAGATTCGAATTTTCTATTTCGGGTGCCGCAGTTTCATCTCAGGAAGTGATATCCATTCTGCATCGTGTAGCGTGCGCCGTGTGGCATGGATCACAGGGCCAAGGCAAGTCCAATGAACATTTAGAGGCTGTAGAGGCTGCGGTGTGGGACGCCCGCATCAAGCAACTGGACAGATTTGGACAGATTTGGGCGGCTTACCATCGTTTTCCCGTTGGTTTGCTACCCAGTCCCAGGACAAAGCTGGATCTGTACGTAGATCCAGCTCCGTTTTGGGATGGGGAAACCTGAAACCAGATAACCACCATCAACCAGTAATATCCCAAGGTTGATAACTTTGAGAGCCAAGGCAGTATCGCTCTTCTTCCAGAGCATGTATGCACATTGGGGCTATTTGCACCTTTGGTCAAATGCTGCACTTGCGATGGAACGACCATTCGCACTCGCGCTGGCCATTTGTAATTTCGATGGCTGCATGGTTGATGCATTTGGTCATCAGTTCCAACATCTTGCAGTTAAATCGCGTCAGGTCTAGAGTTTTTTTACTTGCGACTGGGCTTTGCAGAAAGTCTCATTTTGGTGAAAAGCAGGATCAAACAGGAATTAAAAGCTGGTTTTGCACAAACTTACAGATTCCATCCATAGGGTTGGTCTGAACTTCGGATGACATGGATGACGCGAGCTCAGCCAGGTGATGTATTTGATGTGCTCCCTTTGGGTCTTCGGCTATCCAGGTGATTGCCAGAATGCTTTGATTCTCTCAAGCGTCACCATTTCTGTTCGCTTTGCCGTTGCCACATTTTTCGTGGATTTCCAAATCGCCGTTCCTGCCCAATCTGTGACTTGACAGCATGTTGCATTTGTGGACTTGATTCAAACTTGATTGAATATTGAAAACCAGCTGGCTGAAAGAATTTCTGCGTCAGAATTGGAACACAGAATGGCTGTCCGTTTTGTCGGTTCAAGACTAGCCCACCGTGGTTGGTGAAAGAATTTGGTGGAAGCCAGTCTTATGCTCCAGGTGCTAAGCTTGGTGGAAACTTGGAATGCTTGGAAGCGTGACCCACAATCTGTGCACATCTTCTTTTTTCATCAGCTTACAGTTTCTTGTCGGGATTTGGCAGAAAGTCAACAGTGAATTTGTGTCGGGCTTCGCGGTGTTTAGCAGCATTTGTGCCAGTTGGCAATGTCTCAGTCCTTGTTTTCCATACTAATTTCTTCCACTTTGTATTTTTCATTTGATTTCGAAGCCAATACTACTAATTCGATCTAATTCGAGCATTCGAGATACCAAACATTGCCACTCAGGTTCTGGCCTTCATTTTGGTGTTGGCCGGTCTGATGGAATTCAACAGCCGCTCCCGGATTGCACTGCTGATAAATTCGGAGTCCATGGTCTTCAGCTTTCGCAGGCGGGTCCGCCGAAACTTAGTGCAAAGTCAGGAAAAGAAGGCGACAAAGAGACAAAAAGGTTGAGCTGGGATAGAAACAAAATGAGTCTTCAATAGTCTTCATTCAGATGGGATGAATGAAATCAACAAACCTCAAATCTCAACAGAGTGTTGACATCACGCATGAAAGAATGAAAACCACGCGATTCAGGTGACGTGAATGTCAATATGTGTTAGCTCACATAGTATTTTTTGAATCATGACAATCCAATCTTTGGGAAATAGTTTAACTGCGCTCCACGGGGCCTTTCAGGGCGACACTGTTGGAGAAACGATAGGACTTTGAGGCTCAAAATCTATTGGTTTCATTTGGTTTCTAGGTTAAGTTTGTGGAGATATAAATCTGCAAAACTAACCCTTTTTGTGAAGGTCAATCCAGGACAACTAGTCTGTACCAGTGGATTCAGAAAGGAAACAGAGACAAGAAAAAACGGATAAGAATGCAAACAACAAAAGGAGACCGGGATGGACAATCAAGCAAAAAAAATAAACAGCAAGAGGAAACGACAACATGTAGGGCCCCAGAGCAAAGGAAGAAAAGAGCACATTGCGCTGAAAAACGATAACTTCCATAGCTTCCATGGCTTCCATGCATCGTATTGTTTTGGGATTGGGAGGATGCACCTGGAGTAGTCGTGCTGTGGCACATAAATGATTTTTCATTTAGGACCATGGTGGGCACCTTTAGAAACAACATCGATGACATTTGTGGATACCCCGGAGCATGCACGGCATCCAAGGGTGCTACGTGGGGTGTGCGATGGAGAAATCTTGCTGGACAGTAAACTGAGAATTTCAGGGAATGCGTGTTGCTTGCAGACGCTCAGCTGCATCGGTTTCATATGTAATTTCTTTGTCGAGTCGTGCGCTTTTGTTCAGGAAGGACTCATTTTTGATTGAAATGGGTGTTAGGATTGTTTGGACTAATGACTAATCGAGGGGTTGCTACAGGAAATATCTCGAGTGGCCGTTTTCAACTGGCCACTTTTTGCCCAACTTGTGCTGGGCTAGTTCGTTTTTCAGATTGCTTTGAGTTGTTTCTTTAAGATTAAGAACTGATCCCTCAGTTTTTTTTCAAATGTAGAGCTTGCTGAGGACTTTGCTTATGACCTCGGACTCTGATTTCGGCAACAAGAGCTTCGAGGACTTGCTGGTGGAGGATGAACGCGAACGCTTTCGGAGCCCCCAAGCACAGTTGAGTGGGGGTGTTCGCCTTGGTAACGGAGGTTGTGGTTAACTAATCATGACGAGGATGGAAACGGAGTGGGTTGTTGTTTATTCAAACTGAAAAATGGAGACGGCCAGTTTTGCCACTTTCAAGAAATAAAGATAAACGAATTGTAGGAGGGTTACCAAATTTGGGACAACCCCATTTGGAGTTTGCAAACGAGAACACCAGAAGATTTCAGAAGACACGTGCAACTGAGCAGTGCCCCAAAAGTATGATGTTTGACGCTGATGGGGTTTTTTCAAATTTATCCAAATATCCCAAAGATATAGTTACGTTGGTATTAGCATGTATTAGCCAATGTGGATCTGTGGGTGCTCACCAGGGCTGGGGCGGAGGTTTAAAGTCACAGTCCTTCTTTGGGTTCCATCTCAAAGATCCCAGAAGTCTCCAGGTAAAGATTTCAATTTGGGGTTCCAGGTAATTCTTGGCATTCCACATAAATGTTCAGAGAAGAACAAGATGCCAAAGGGGTCAAGCAAACAGAGATCCAAGTTTAGCAGGTACATACGATCTGCCAATATAAGCACCTGCTCAACATGCAAACCATTTTTTCTGCAGCTTGCACCAATCGTTGTTGGTTCATTTTTCTTCTTGAATGCCTTGTTGTTGACACAATCGGGTTTTTTCAACCCAACAGCAACAAGGATAGTGGACCTTAGTCACGTGAATCAATTACTTCGGGGTTTCCATCAGCTTTGACACAGACTTGAGTCCTGTTGACAAGCCTCCCCATTTCCAAAAATCCAGACGTAGAAGCTTTTATACTTGGAAGGGTTTTTGGGGCACTTGGATTGGGGCCTACAAAGCGAGAGTACTGGTACTTTGCATACGGTGATGGAAACTGTTTGAGCAACAGGTTTTCTGTCGCTTTGCCGTTCCTTTTCAGGCTTCATGTCGGAGCGGAAGCAGGCTGTGGCATCTGACATCAGTGCTCCTCCGTGCTTGCGAGTCTCATTGAAGCTCAGATGCAAATCCAAACGTCCCAACTCTGAAAGGCAACTACGTTACACTCTTGGCCCACAAGATACCCAGCATGTGCCAAGCATGTGCCAAGCATGTGCCAAGTAGTAAATCACAAGCAAGTTGTCAATACCCTTTTTTTTTGTACGTCGTTCTGTCCTGCCTCCAGGAAACGCATGGGCATTGCTGGGTCAACTTCTTCGGCATGTCCGCGTGTAGGGGTGGACCTCTTCCACGTGCCACACATGTTGGGCGAAGAAACGTATCACCTGATTGCGCTCAGAGAAGATTGGGACTCGCGATCTCCACTAGAAGTCACTGGGCTGAGATTTGAGATTGTGACGGCATTGACGGCATTGACGGCATTGACGGCATTGCATAGTAAGATTCTTTTGGATTTTTTGTTCATTGGTTTTGATGTCATCATTTTGGCAACCTGGCTCGCATATTGATGCATATTGTAGTGATCTTTCCTGAGATCATTGGAGCTGATGGAGATGGAAGCTATCATAGTCATCCCCGCAGTCCTGTGTGCAATGAAAGGAAAACAGTCAGGACTTGGGATCACTTGGGATCACTTGGGATCACTTGGGATCAGAAAAATGTTGAGAAAACTAACGTTTGGATGTTTTGCATGTTTTATGGATGTTTTATGGCAGTTCCAATTTAGGATTGCCTTGCCTGTCACCAGTCGCATTTCTTGACATGGTATTCTGTGGGGAAGTTGCATTTGCGACGATGCATGTGAGTGTTGACTTGGTTATTTGTATCCTTGCGGCACAAAGAGTGTGGTTCTAGACACGTTTTCTGATACGATTATATTATTTTGTTTCTTCGATCGGAATTCCAGGATGCAAGAGTCAGAAAATGTTGCGTGGCCGGTAATCTATATTCGATAGAAGTGTAAGCAACAGTTCCCAGGGCCAGGATATGTTCCTTTTGAGTTCAGGAGCTCTCCTCTCTCTGATTCCTCAGTCTCACAGGCGCCTCAGCATTTTTTGGAGTTGTCAAGACTCTTGACACTTGATTCAATCAATTCGTTTATTCAATCTCAAGTCTTTCAAGTCTTTCACTACTGACGGGAGTTGGTTTCACAAGTTGATCTCACAGTCTACCACAGGTGTCTGGAAACTCGCTCCTGCAGATTTGCAAGGAGTTGAAGGAGATGACTTTGCTGGTCGGACGTTGTTTGGAAAGGTTTTCTTTTCCAAGAAACACACTCCTTTTAACATACCACGACGAAGCAAATCTCCACCTTGCACTGTGTGTATGTGCTTGTTTGTTTCCTTTACTGAAAGTTTTGTTTGGTTTGTCTGCCCTGGCTTTTTGGTGGTCAGAATAATCCAGGGTTCTCTAGGTGGATGCTACTACGCCACTTTTGGATGTGGAACAAGCTCACTTGAGCTTTGTTCGCCGCCCCGATAGCGAGACTGACTCCACCATGCCTAGTTTGCGACGTTTGGTTCAGCCAACGGACTCTGGGATGATGAAAAAGGGGGCAAGTTTCATCTCAAATGATAAACTGGTTGGCAGTTTCAATTGCGTTTATTTCCATTTATTTCCAAGTTATTTCAATGATTCATCCTGAGGCGATGTTCAATGATTACCCCAAATCGTTTCATCTTTGTTTCGCCTTTTGGATGCAACGAAACGAGGATTGGGGCACAATTCGCTCTCAGCTCGTGAGTTTCGCTGCCACTGGAAGCAGAGAAAGAGAAGTGCTGAAAATGAAGTTCCTCAGCAGCCTCGGAAATTAGAATTGCTCAGCATTGCTCGGAGAGATAAGGTTTTTGCTGGCCTTGAGTAGCAAAAGCTACGAGAGCTACGAGTGGGGATTCAATCTGCTGTGCTGGCAAACTTTATCCAAGGAACATCTGGCACTGTACTGTCACAAGTGTCCAGTTGAGCGTAACAGCAAGAAAACATAATGTGGCACAAATCCCCTAGTCAGTTGCCATCAGTGGCACCACTGGTCACAAAGATTTTGTGTCAGGGGAATATGTAGGAAAGCAAGGGGTCCACAGTAGTGATTTTGTTTCTTGCAACATTCTGGCAACAAGTGGGTCGTTGGAATGTCGTTGGAATGTCGGGCTCAGGTTAAGATTGCAGGATGATTGCAAGAGATGCCTTGAAGCACGCCGTGTGTATGTCTCCGCGTTCCTTCCCCCAAATGGCGAGTCCGAGTCGACCAGCAAGTTATGTTTACAACTGGAGAGATTCAAAGTAGCGAGGCCTTCGCAAAAGCAAAGGTCTCTCAGCTGAATGATTTGTTGATGGTGAAAACCCCATTGCTTTGCGGGATGGGGATGGTGGGCACGTTCCCAAATTTCATTCACTTCGAACAGAATGCCTTAGGGTAGTTTCTCTTGGTGTTCTTTTCAGTCACAACCATTGCTGGAAGCTTTGCTCTCGCGCAGGTCTGAGTTGCAGGGCGTTTATGAGTGCCAATCTGAAGGTTCTGACCAGAGTTGATCGTGTAGATTTAGAATTTTGAAAGACTGCTCGAGAATCAAATAGATTCCCAATGGCTGCTGTATCTAGAACTTTTTTGCATGAAGTATCTAAAGTTGTTGACATTTCCGTGGGAGCAGGGTTCGATCCGCACCCAGAGCTCTCTCACTTCCAAAGCTTGGATATGGATGATATGGACAGAACATAGAAGCCACACACAAAACATGTCATTTCACAAGATACTGTCTGTATTCGTCCATTGGACCCTCTCTTTGCCACCTACGTGGTTCTTCTTCACATATTCTGGGTACCACTGCGAGGACAAAAAGATGTTTTTTGCTTCGGCTGCTGGAAGCAAGAGCCCCTGCGAAATGAAGAAAGACCTGGCTATTTCGTACCATAAGTCCTTTTGGGAGTTGGCCACACGGAATGCATCATGATTTTGTAATGCAGAATCAACACATTGAGGATTGTGGATCAGACTTGTGTTTTTTTAACAAGAGTTCATCATAAATAGCAAATCAGCAAATTATGGAATTTGATTTTTCTGACATGTTGACATACTGCCACCTGCTCCATCGTCCACAGCCCGGCGCCAAAGAGAGCAAGAAGGCATCTTCGTCCTCAATCAACTTCTCCAGGTGGTCCTGATTGGATTTCTTCAAGGGTTGTAGCGGTCATCGTAGATGGTTGGCGAAATGCTCAACATGTTAAGTAGCACAAGCAAATATTTCCACCAAGAACTTGCATCGCAACATCCTCGTCCTCTGTACTCCGTTCCCAGCCTAGACCTCATGGCACAGTCCTCCTTCTCCACTTTGTCCAAGGATTCTTGAAGTTGCTTGCACGTCGAAATCTCAACCTTTCCCTCAGTGATCGGCATGTAGTCACTGCCTTCTTTGTTCACTTCATAGTTCTCATCCTCCAGCGCCATGTCATATTGGATGGTCTCATCATCGGAAATGGCGTCGTCATTCTGGAAAGTATGCCGGATGTCGTGCTGCTCCTCGGTGTTCAGCACGATATTGCCCAATCCAGGTTCTCCAGGAAGTGCAATGGAAGGCAAACGATCAAACCATTGTGCACGATCAGCTCCAACTCCTTCAGCGTTCGGCTGTAGATGGTGTGGTTCCCCATGTCAATCACCAGACCCAACCTTTGCTGTGCACCAGCGCTCAGCAGCAATGGCACATCGGAATTCTCCAGCTCCACGTCAGGTGGATTGGTTGCTGCCATCTGCCACCTCAGCCTTTGGGAAGCCTGTTTTCTCTGCAGTGTCCAAGACTGCCATCATTCGTTCATCTTTAGCAGGTCCATTCATCTCAGTCCTCATATAGGCCTTCGAGCTTTGTGACGAAGCTCGGTCAGGAAATTCTTGAGCATGTCGTCGTTCAGCGATCCATTCTGCAACTTTCCAAACATAGATTTCCGCTGGTTTATCTTGTTGATGTAGATGTCGGCACAGGTGCGCCCAGCATAGGTGTCAAAGTTCAGGATCTGCCCATCCAAAGTCCTGACTGAACTTCACCACGTATGGTGAAGCTGCCGCCGATATTGATGTCGCCGGCAATGGGGTTGTAGATTTCGCTGCGCTTCTACTGCGGGATCTTTCAGCTGGTGATAAATGTCGTCAATGGGTATTCATCCCGGTTTTGCGACATAGATGCGATCGAGCTGATGGATTGAAATGACTTGACCCATCTCTCTCGGCGCATCCACCACATCCCTCGCCAAGTTCCACAATCCGATCCACCTCATGGTCCTCTTGGGCTGTTGCCATAATCGGACTTGTTATCACCTGTAGTGTCCTCATTGCTGGAATGGGTATTTGCGCCACAGACGCCTTTGATCTTGTTTTGTTCAGAAGTCACGAAAGGTAGCTCCAGTGGGGCTACCTTGAGTTTTGCTTTACGAAGTAAAGGGGAGGGCGGCCAGCCCCGTTACCCTCCACGCCTCCCACACACCCTAAGAGCAGACTCAAAACATTGTAATTTACAGCATTTTTGTTCTTTTCGGATCAAGAAACCACATCCAACAACACGACCAACAACACCAACACCAACAACACTAACAACACCAGAAACACTACCACCACCAACAACACCAACAACACCAACACCAACAACACCAACAACACCAACACCACCAGCACCACCAACACCACCAACACCACCAACACCACAACCACCACCAACCCCAGCCACACCGCCGAAGCCTTTCAGTCCCTTTTTACCAGACTCCACTTCATATTTTTAGAAAGAAAATGGCCGCGTCGCTTTTACCAGACTCCACTTTATGTTTTTGTCCCTGCCCTCTCCCCTTCATTTTTTCTTCGGTTCCTTTCTTGCTTACCTACCTTTCGTGTTCCCCCTCTCAAGTTCTGCATGTCCACCTCTAATTCCGATTGTTTCCGTGTAGGCTCGATCTTCATGGGCACAATCCTTAGGAGCCGCAGTCTTGATTTTATCACATGGAGTCAAGATTGCTTTTTGCAAGAGCATGCCACAGTCCTTGCATTTGGTGCGCTTGGGGTCATTGGACCCATGGGTCGTCCGAGCATAAACACATTCCGGAGGAGTTGACGCTCCCCGGTGTCTGCTCAGGTCGGATCTCACCTTTCAAGCCTCGATTCATCGACGTAGGCCCAGTCGAGCTTTGGCATCCTAACCAAGTTGATGCGGTCAGCTATGGTCAGCTTAGCGTCTTGCCACCCAGGGTTGTTGAAATCGTTGACAACCTCCAGGTAGAGATCCAAGTAGGCCATTCTTTCCGGTCCCCAAATCGCAAACGAGTTTCACCTCGGATCTTGGAGTCGCCCAGCGTTGCATTCTGTGGAAATGGAGGGGTTTCTTCCACAGGTAGCACAACCTGACGTCCGACTTGTCCGTGCACCAGGAGGAGCTCATAGATCTTGTGCAGCAGATAGCATTACTGATTGGCCATTGATTGCCATTGTGTCCTTGGGCCATGGGGAGCGCATTGATCTTGTTGAGCTTGTGCTTGTGCAATCATGGCATGAAGGATCTCATAAGTTGTTCTGCCAGCCATGTCCCCAGAAGATCGGCAGTGGGCTTCTCCTCCTATCATTGACGGTGATGTAAACTGTACGCTGCTGGGGTTCCTCTTGTTGGACTTGTGACCCTTGGTTGAAGCATACTGGGTAGTCAATGCTGTCGAGCTCTTGCCTTTTCCTTTTCGAGACCCTTTTGGACACGTCGGGTCATTGGCCCAATGTTCCACTTGTCCATATTGTCTGCAAGAATATTTTGACTTGAGCGCTTGAATGCTGACGCTTCTCATCCAGAGTGGAGTTTCCATGGACCTGGAATAGTCCTCCACGTCTCTTTTTCCAGAAGACATAATGGCCTGTTGCTTGCGAGCGCAACCGTGCATGAAAAGCGTTTGATTCAGCCTGAAACACGCATCCACGTAGTTCTCGGCAGTCTCCATGTGATACTCCGTGGTTCCTGCTGGTCGTAGTCCTCCTCAACGGAGTAGGAGCGCCATCGTGTGTTTGTTGTTCATCGGGTTGCTCTCCTTATCCCTGGAACCCTGAGCACTTATGACTTTTCCAAAACGGCCAGCTTGTCCTCCTTGGATCCTGCTGTGTTGTGCCACCAGCTCTTCACCAACTTTGTCCCAGACCATCTCGCCCTTGATCGCCGTACGAATGAGTAGTCGATGATCATCAGATATCCGTGCATTCTAACAACTGCTCCGCCAAGATCCCATCGCGCAACTGCAAGTCCGGATACCATGCACGTCTCCTCGAAACGCAGTTGGCGATCAATTGCCCAGACTGTTTTTCCAGTCTCGAGCCTCTTTTCTCTTCCGTGCTAATGAGCTAGTCAAGCTCTTCAGCAGGAACTCCATGCTTTTCTAATTGTTGGAAGCGTTCTCGCCACTTGAAGTGTGGCTCCACGTTATCCATCAACAGCCGTAAAGCCAATGGTCCACTGTGAGGGTCCAGAGATAGAATTTGTTCAATCTGATTGAACATTTCAATCCTTATTGATTTTTTCAATCCGATTTAAAATCCAAAAATATTGAAAAAAATCAAGCCCGGTTTCAATCCCAGGATTGATTTTTTTCAATCCGGATTGAAAATCCAAAAATATTGAAAAAACCAATCCCGGTTTCAATCCTAGGATGTTTTTTTTCAATAAGGATTGAAAAAAATCGATAACTATTGAAAGGAATATTGAAAAATCGTTTTTCCCCACATCTTTGTGTGGGGTTCTTGTTTTTGTTCTGTATCCCGCCGCCTTCTCCTCCTCCTCCTCCTCCTCCCGCCCTCCCGCCGAGTCCCTCACACACCACTTACTCATCACATAACTTGCTCACACACAACTTGTCATCACACAACTTGCTCACACACAACTCAACTCACACAACTTGTCATCACACAACTTGCTCACACAAAACTTGTCCTTCGTGAAATCCACCTTCGTTTCACGTGGCAGGCGTGGCACTTGGTGACATTCACCTTCGTTTCACGTGGCAGGCATGGCACTTACGGCACTAGGCGGGCTCTGGTGGCGCACCGGGTTCCCAGCTGACCCCGTGGACGCCGCGGCTCTTTGCGTGGCAAGCGTGGCACTTAGTGACATCCACCTTCGTTTCACGTGGCAGGCGTGGCACCTTCACTTTGCGTGGCAGGCGTGGCACTAGGTGACATCGATCGTCACTTTGCGTGGCAGGCGTGGCACTTACGGCATTGGGCAGGCTCTGGTGGCGCACCGGGTTCCCAGCTGACGCCGTGCGTGGCACTTGCTGACATCCACCTTCACTTTGCGTGGCAGGCATGGCACTTACGGCACTAGGCGGGCTCTGGTGGCGCACCGGGTTCCCAGCTGACGTCGTGGACGCCGCGGCTCTTTGCGTGGCAGGCCTGGCGCTTGGTGACATCCACCTTCGTTTCACGTGGCAGGCGTGGCACCTTCACTTTGCGTGGCAGGCGTGGCACTATAGGTGACATCGATCGTCACTTTGCACACCACTTTGTCACGCACCATCTTTCACACGCAACTTTGTCACACACCACTTTGTCACACACCATCTTTCACACACAACTTTGTCACACACCATCTTTCACACACACACCATCTTTCACACACAACTTTGTCACACACCATCTTTCACACACCACTTTGTCACACACCATCTTTCACACGCAACTTTGTCACACACCATCTTTCACACACCATCTTTCACA